AAGTAACAATCGTAATAATAACAATATGAAAAAAATGAAAATTATATTAATTCAGGTAATAGAAATGAAAATGTTAATTTTAAGATTTGAAAAAGCCCGCGTTAGAAATTAGAATTAATTGCTAGAGGGCGCCATTGACTTTCTCGCTAGTGGTAAAATTTTTCGCCTAATTGCAGTCGGTATATAAAAATAAGAATAATATTAATAATAATAATTGTGATAATAATCATGATATTAATAATAAAAATGATGGTAATAATAAAAATGATAGTAATAATAAAAATAATGATAATAATAGGGATATTAAAAATAATAATAATAGTAATATTAATGAAAATAATAAAAATAAATTTACATGAAACTAGAACTAATAATTAGTAATAGCGATAAAAATGAATAGTTACAACCAAAATAATAATAATAATAATAATAATAATAATAATAATAATAATTCCTAATATTAATAATAAATAACAAATCTAAACGAATTTACTAAAAACGAAAAAATAAATTTTGAGATTTGAAAAAGCCCGCGTTAGAATTAATTGCCAGAGGGCGCCATTGACTTTCTCGCTAGTGGTAATTTTCTGCGTTAAATTTCAGTAGAAATTTAAATATAGAAATAATAAAAATGATATTAATGATATTAATAATAAAAATAATATTAATAATATTAATAATATTAATATCAATAATAACAATAATAACAAAAATAATAATAATAGGTAATGTCAAAATAAATTGATTTAAATAGAAATACTAAATAAAAAAATAAGTAAAGTATATGTAAATTTCTTTCCTCTAAAATTTATAAAGAAAAATATTATGCTCTATTTACACGGAACTTACAGAAGCAATTTTCAATTGCATTCTGAGCGATTTTGAATAAAGCGTTTATGTAGGCAACGTCACGAATTATTTGCTGTGCGGAAAAAATAATAGAAAAAAAAATGCCATGGAGCTTTATGGCAACTTTTTATAGAATTAAGTCCCTGACTATAACTCAAGCAAGTAGAGTAATGGTACTTTCGGATAGGAAGCAACAAGACACTTGAAAAAAGGAAAAAGAAGGCTTTTTTTACCTCAAGACTTAGATTCACCATCAAGGGAAAGAAAAAAAAATATCTATACATATTGATGAAAGGATTTTAGTTTTTAAGAATCTTTTGCACATCCAAGGGAAAAATTTTATTTTTCAAAGTTTCCTTTTAAAATGTCTCTTCTCCCTTGAAAGCAAAAAGGAAATTAAAAAAAATGTTTTTCATGTTTTTTTTAAAATGTGAATTTAAAAAGGAATTTTTTTTTCTACGTAAAATATTTTTTATAATACAATTTTCATCTTCTATTATTATTATTTTTACTATTGTATTATTATTATTACTTTTTTTAAATATTGTATTATAATCGTTATAGATTAAAATTAAAATAAATAAAAAAAAAAAGAAAAACTCCAACGATTATAAAAAGATCTATAATATATTTAAAAACTGTATTAAAATTGTTTCCATTATTATTATTAATATTACTATTATAGTATTTTTTTTATTATTATTGCTATTACTAATATCTATTATTATTCATTTTCATTTTTAAAAAAATTAGAAACCACAATAATGATAAGAAATAAAATTACAGCCTTTCGCATAATTCTTCTACATGGAAAAAATTAAATAAATTTTACATGAAAAAATGGAACGTAATAATTTTAATTGTATAATTTCTGAATTATCGTACTAACGCTATATTATATAGAGCATATTGTAAATCATTTTCATGATCATATTATAGAGCATATTATAAATCACATGTTGTAATCACATTCTATACTGAATTATAAATTACGATTTCTATTATAATTATGCTTTATTAAATTATTTAAATATATTATTATCGGAATATTGTTCAAATATTATTAATATTATTAGGTTATATTTAGAATTTAATAAATAAATGAATTATTTTCATCATTATGTAGGTACTATTATTTTACTTCATTTATCTATTTAATAATTTATTTTTCATTAGTATTTTATTTATTATTATTCTTATAATTTATTAATAATTCGTTTATTGTTACAAATTATTTGTTAATCAACTAAGTAAATTATTAATACAAATAAATATGAACTAATAAATAAATTTTATTATTAATAAATTAATAATTTTAGGACCATTTATAATGTTTACGATTCCGATATGTTCTAGTGGCAAGCATACTTAATATTACTTATTTTTTAAAGAAAATTAAATTTATTTTATAAAAATAAGTATAGACAATAATAAATAGATTTTTTTATTATTTTTGGTACTTAAAAGTTTTCAGATCATTTTAACTTTTTAAGATTCCGATATTGTCTAGTGGCAAGCATACCTGACATTACTTATTATTGAAATAATTAAATTTATTTTATAGATATAAATAAAAATTAAGAATAAGAAATAAATTTACTTTATAAAAATAAGTATTGGCAATAATAAGTACCTATTTTATTATTATTTTCGGTACTGAATAGTTTTTAGACCATTTTGATTGTTTATGATTCCGATATTGTCTAGTGGCAAGCACACCTGACATTACTTATTATTTAAATAATTGAATTTATTTTATAGAAAAAAATGAAAATAAAAAAATAATAAATAGATTTTATAAAAATAAATATGATAATAGATTCTATTGCTCTTATTATTTTTGGTACTGAAAAGTTTTGAAAGCAATTCAACTGCTTAAGATTCCGATATGTTCTAGTGGCAAGCATACCTGACATGATTTATTGTTTAAATATTTAAATTTATTTTGTAAAAATAAATAAATATAAAGAAAAGGAAATAAATTGTTTATTTAAAAATAAATATAGAGAATAATAAATAGATTTTATTATTATTAATTTCGTTAATGAAAAGTTTTGGCACTATTTTGATTGTTTTTGATTCCGATATGTTCTAGTGGCAAGCATACCTGACATTACTTATGATATAAGTAAATAAATTTATTTTAAAATGAAAATATAATATGTAATTAAAAAACAATAATATAGTTTATTAATTTTGGTATTGAATAATTTAAAGACTATTTTGACTAGTTTACAATTCCGATATGTTCTAGTGACAAGCATACCTGACATGACTTATTGTTTAAACAATTTAATTTTTTTTTCCAAAAATTAATAAAAATATAAACTAATAAACAAATTTATTTTTTAAAAATAAGTATAGGCAATAATAAAAGCATTCTATTACTAATATTAATTTTGGTACTGAAAAGTTTTCAGGACATGTTGACTGTTTACAATTCCGATATGTTCTAGTGGCAAGCATACCTAACATTACTTATCATATAAATTAATTTTTCAAAAATAAATATAAACACTAATAAATTTTTTCTTATATTTATTTATTCAATTATAGCTCTCATTTTTCCCCTTCTAATTGATGGAGAAAGAATAAAAAAAAACATTTTGTCATTAGATATTTTACCCGAAGGAGGAAAATTAATTGTTTATTAATTGAGATACTCCGCGGTGAGTAAAACATTCAATTTACTCGAGAGGAAGCTTGCATTTCTAAATACATTTGACAAACCAAACTATATAACAGTATATAGAACGACGGAAAACATGAGTTGTATCCCGACGACGAACCACGACAACTACTGGGTTTCTCTAATGGTCCTTAATGGAACTTAGTGTGCCTCAAAATTGAATTAAAATACACTCAAGATCCAGAAATCAATATTTGTATCAGTCACTTAAAAAACGTAAATTTTATTAAAAATTTTTTACCTTTTTAAAAAAATAATTTTTACTTTTTAAAAAACAAATTTTTTTTCCTTTGTACAAAATTTTTTTTGTATTTTTCTATTCCAAAACTTTTTTCCTTTTTAACTTTTTTAATAAATTTCTTTTTTAATTTAAAAAAAAAACCGCTTTTTCTTGTTTAGAAATTGTGCAAATAATTGAACCCCTTAAAACTCATCAATGACAAAAAAATTATTTAGGTTCACTTTGTCCGAACATTTTTCAAAATCAATAAAATTTAATTTAGACTTATCCTTCTTATATTGATGTATATAAGACATTTAATAATTTTCTTCTCAGCTTATTTCAAAACGAAATGAATTTTCAAATGCTGCATTGAATTCGAGGTGAAATGTCGGATTAAAATCGAATCAATTTCCTTTTTTTAATCACTTATTCAATCTCTGGCCTTTTTTTACAAGAAAATAAAAAATATTATTATACTTCTAATGTCAAAAAATAATAAAAATTAATTTATTATAATAATAATTAAATTAATTTACAAAAAAATCAAAAAATAAATTTGGAAATTTGAAAAAGCCCGCGTCAGAATTAATTGCCAGAGGTCGCCACTGACTTTCTCGCAAGTGGTAATGTTTTTGGGCCAAATTACAGAAATAATGTGTTCGGCCTGCTAGTGATAATTTTCTACGTTTAATTTCAGAAGTAACATAAACATAGCAAAAATAATAATAATAGTAATAATAATAATTATTGTGCTATATTATTATTATTAAAAATATTTATTTAAAATAATAAATCTTTACGAAATTTTCGTTTCCCTAGCATGGTCCCTATGGACTACGGGACCTTATGCAATGAACAATATTTACGAATACAAAATAGAAATTTTTTTCTAAAACAAACATTAAGTTTTAATCGAGTCGAGACTTATGGATGACAATATAATGCCGTGTAAAAATAACCTAATAGACAATCAAAATTCAGGAGATATTGATCTGTCTCGCAGGGGGAAATGTGGTTTAAAAATAAATAAAATCCGCAAAGCGAAAACTGATGCCGAATGATAAAGTGTGGTGTGTCTACACTTATACATCTATACAGATATAAACATATTAGAGAAATTTAAATTTAGATCAACTATAACACGAATCCAAAATTATCGTATAATATAATTCGAAAAATCTATTGGCAAAAGACTCTTAAATCTTTTTCATGATATAATATTATTTTCGAATATTTCAGCATTTGTCACTAAGGTGTCTTATGACATGGGATCGGAGCCGAGAATGAGAATCACATGAATTATGCAGATAAAGAAATAATAACAAGAAAACAGAAAATTAGTATACAAAAGTGGCAGCTAAAAAAATTAATATTCGCAAGAAAGGGGAGAAGGAGGAATGGGCCCTTGGGCCTTTGGTGTACCAATTGTCCTAGTATCATGTGTGGGCCTTCTTCTTAATGCCTACATTCTTCTTGTTGTTCTTGGACTCGGCAAGCAGGTGACTTCCTTCTTTCTTTTTTGCATCCGATTCAATTTTTTATATTTTTCTTGTTTTTATTTTTTACTTTCTAATTTTTCCTCTTTGCTTTCTTTTTTGTGTTTGCTTACTTTCTGCTTGTACTAACTTTTCTATATTTTCATTTGTTCTGTTTTCGGTTTTTGATCTGCTTTACTTTTTTTCTTTGATTTTCTGTTTGCTTTTCTTGTTTTACTTTTATTTTCTGTTTTCATTATTTTTATTTATGTTTGTTCCCTTCTAGCATTGTTTTCATTTAAAGAATCTTTTCTTCTTCTACTTTTTTCCTTTTAAAATTATTTTTTGCTTCTTTTGTTGAAACTACGATACTTTTTGTTAAGTAAAAATATTTATAAAATTCTCCCTTCGAATTAGATTCACCAGCAGCAGACTGCAAACACTTTGCTGCTGGTACATTTAGGAGCAGTGGAAGCGGCCGTTTGTCTCGTACTTTTAGTATTTAGCACCGGTTCCTGGCCATTTGCCGGCACTTGGTGCGTTCTACACGGTTTTCTCCTGGCCCTTCTCCATCCCGTGGCCCTTTGGACCGTAACTGGTCTGAACTGTGAAAGGTATACTAATTCATAACTATTTATAAAAAAGAAGAAAAAAAATTATTCCACTTTCGTCGTCGGTAGCCACGCTTCGACTGAGCAGTCCCGAGCAGCGCGTCACTTTATATACTCCTCGAACGGAGTCGGAGTGGGGATCGCGGGGACTTAATAAAGTGGGGGAGCGTCCGGGCGCTGATTGGTTCCGCAAACTCAGGAGCGGCACACGATTTAATTTTGCCCCACGCGTCTTAATATTTCTAAACTAGGAAAATTAATTATCCCGCATTAGAAAATTCGTATTTTCGTCAAATTTCTGTCTGCAAAGGACGACTAAATTAAAAATCATCCTCGGTTAATTTTTCTGCAATTGGAATATCATTTTTGATAACCGGAACAAAAGGAATCGCGAATTAATTTTTCTTTTGTTGCTGAAGATGTTACGCCTGTTTTGATAGCATTTTGACTGCTTATAATTCCGATATTATCTAGTGGCAAGCATACCTGACATCACTTATTATTTAACTAATAATTCCGATATTATCTAGTGGCAAGCATACCTGACATCACTTATTATTTAACTAATAATTCCGATATTATCTAGTGGCAAGCATACCTGACATCACTTATTATTTAACTAATAATTCCGATATTATCTAGTGGCAAGCATACCTGACATCACTTATTATTTAACTAATAATTCCGATATTATCTAGTGGCAAGCATACCTGACATCACTTATTATTTAACTAATAATTCCGATATTATCTAGTAGAAAGTACACCTGACATCATAGGGCCCATTTTAAGTTATGTGTACGATAAAAGTTAAAAAATATAACAAATTTGTTTTAAAAAAAATTTTTTAAATGTTTTTTAAGGATGTAACAATTTTATAGAAATAAATAAAAATAAAGAATAACAAATAGGTATTACGCTATCGCGGCTCCACTCCACTATGCCGCACTGGTCTCACCACGAAGAGTGATATTCGGATTGGCAGCATCATGGACGGGATCACTCCTACTTTGCCTACCGCCGATATCAGGTCTAGCTCCACCGTATAAATACATTCCTGGTCTTGGATGTTGTGCTCCCGACTTTGGCAATGACAATTGGGGTTCATCGGCCGTTGTTTATGGTGTAGCGTACGCTTTTTTAGGTCTCGCACTACCAGCAGTGCTCGTCACTGTCTGCAATTTACGTGTACTTGGTATTGCACGCTATCATCGTCATCGTATTGCGAGCGCAATTTATGAGGTTACGTTAAGTGCCCAAGTGACCATCACGCATCAGAGGAATCCTTTTTTTATTCCCTCGATAACTTCGCCTAATGCCGGAGGTGGACCACCACGATTTCATAGTGCTGCTAGTACGGTAATGACTTTTGACTACTTTTTTTTAAATTTTTAGGTTTCGTTTTTTGATGGTCTTCGACTTTACAGGTAATGCAACTTGTTGGATCTCTCTATTTACTGTACTTTCCCTATTGCGGTTTGATCCTGTGGGAGGTGTGTTGTGCCATTGGAGTTGGGGGCGTCGGAAGTCAACAACGTCTGCACGCGCATCCTCGTTTCGCGTCCTTGGCCTCACTTCTTCTAGCCTGTTCACCACCCGTTAATGGACTTCTCTATGGTCTTAAATCACGAACCCTACGACGTTCCGTGCAAAACTACTGGCGTAAAAAAGCCACTAAATCCGAATTACAGCAGGTAAGAGATTTCCACTCATTTATTTTTTGTGAATATTTTTTTTGTTGGATTAAAAAATAGCCTTGAAGAAGTAAAAAAAAAAAGTCTGCAAGAGAGAATAATTACAGGCGTGGTTTTGTTTGCACACTAGGTGGTAAATTGTCCTTTTTGAGTACACAAATTTATCGATTACTATTCGTTCACGTTTTCTCTCTTTCTATTAATTGCAGGAAATTCAGGCGCGAACGCCTAGTGCCACTGGTTCAAGGAGGCCTTCAGGAAATGGACAGGCCTCCTTCTTCCCTTTTCCGCCTTTGCAACGACGCCTCAGCGAAGCATTATTAGTTCTCGGTTCCTGTAGAACGGGAAATCCTTTTGATGATAGTAATATTCGAAATCCATTTCATCGCAGTCGATTACAAACGGCTGCTTCTTGTAATACACTCAGAGTGCCAAATGCCGAATTAGGTATTATTCTGATTTATTGATACGGGATAGGATTTATATTAATTTTGCCTTTTTGGGGTACCCCCAATTAGGAATCAAAAACTTAAGGCAGTAGTCTCCTTTAGAAGCCGAAAAAAAGCGTTTTTCAGCAATTTTTTTGAAAGGGAAGGAAATGATTGCGGTAAACGAAATTTTTAGCTGATATTTTATACAAATAGAAGATAATTTAATACTGAAGCTAGATCACTTTGATTTTTGTCAATCGGAAAAATATTCTTTTTGCTATCGCCGGCACCGTTTTCTATGACGTGTAAAAATGAAAATTCGAGAAAACGCGCTTTAAAGTTTTCGGTCCAAAAAAATATAAGTTTTTGGATATTTACACTAATTAAATGTTAAACAGCTATTCCTGGACCATACAACAGTCCTTCCTCTTCTTCGATGAACGCATTTTGGCGGAGGCTTTCTGATAGTCGAGCTGTGCGAGTCTCCTTGCTCTTCGATAGTTTTGGAATAGATTTAAGACCCAAAAAAAAGTCGATTTTTTTAAGCCTATAAAGGAGACTACTGCCTTAATGCAAATCCTACTAGTTATTTAGATTCTTTCAATAAAAAAAAATTTCTTTGACTAATTACAGTTGGATCTGCAAAACCAGTGAGAACGAGTGCAAGTACAGCGAGTCTACAACTTGTCTCTCGCTACTGTAACGATTTCGACGGTAGCGAGAGTATTGAAAACGATGGTGGGTGCTCTATGAGCGATACTCCAAATCAAAGTCCTAGGATTCTCATAACTCGAGCTTGCAGCGAAGAGAGTCAGGACTACGATAGTCCATTGCTTAAGAAAACATTAACAACAGCTGCTTCTGCACCGGTCTCGCAGATTAGCGAAAGTAAAAATAAAAAAAAATTGATTTCCCATCATCAATTTTTTTCATTAGTTGTGACATTAGACTACATTTCCGCTGTCTAAAATAATAAACCCAATGGCCGCATTTACCTTAAGATCCAAGTTAACGAATCCCAAACTTTGGTCAAATCCACCCACTGGATTTTTACTTTCGACGTCAGTACAATCCCGTTCATTACATAAAATAACAATAGGAAAAACATTACATAACATTAAATACACACAGTTTGTAATGAATGTAAGAAAATATAAGTAGCGGATTTCAAAAAATTGAGATGCGGATCCTTGGTCGATAACAACTATAATCCCGATGTTACAGAGCAAATACAAGGTTACCACCCCATGTGGAAAAATTAACGTTACTTAACGTTAGCTAATGCTACTAACGTTAGGTTAACGTTAATCTAACGACATTTTTTGGTCACTAATGTCATATTATAACGTTAGCCTAACGTTAGTTAACGTTATCCTAATGTTAGTTAACGTTAGCCTAACGTTAGTTAACGTTAGCCTAACGTTAGTTAACGTTATTCTAATGTTAGTTAACGTTATTCTAATGTTAGTTAACGTTAGTCTAACGTTAGTAACATTATTTAACATTAACTTACGTTAACTTTCCGACCTGGGACGCTTTTGCTCATTTCAAATTCCATGACTTTTCCAGGTTTTCCATGTTAAAAAAATAAATTCTTCCAGGTTTTTAAAAGTACATTTATATTTTCCATTATAATTTTACCATAAGAATTATGATTTTCAAAAATTTTACATTAAAACCTTTTTGAAATTAAACAGCTTATAAAAAATTGTTATAAAACATGAAGAAATCGATCACTACGAGTCTTCGACTCGGAGCAATCGATGAATATGTTTTATAATAATTCAAAACGACAGACTGATAAAATCATTATTTTATATTATAAAAATAATGTTACTGTAACTTATTCAGAATTACATTCATCACTTTAATTCAATTATTGTTATCCACAATTTTTAACTAAAATTCTTCCTTAAATTAATATGTTTTTAAAAATTTCATTAAAAATTTACAAATTTTCTTTTTACAATTCAAATTTAAGAAATTTTATCAATTATTCGGATGAAATCAAATGAAATCTATACTTCAATCAAATCAAATATATATTAGACAATAAAAGTATCAAATAACTTAAAAAAAATTCAATTAAAGTTTTTCAAAAAAATTAAATCTACACAATTTTCAGACTTAAAACTATGAAAAATTCAAACATTCAAAGATTATAATTTGAAACCTTTTTAAAATTTAATTATTTCTAACAATTCGCAGTATAATACTTTCTCTCTAAATTTTTGAATTAATAAAAATTTTTTTTGACGTATTTTAATTGTTAATAATATTTTTAAGAATAATTTCATTTTTCGAGAAATTAGATTACAATTGTATTAAAAATAATTGAATCTCTGTAAAAAAAATTTGATTGAATTGAGAAAAGTTTTTGAAAATAATTGAAATTTTGCCGAGATTTTATTAAAATTTTTGAAAATAATTGAATTTTGGAGAAAATTATTATTACTTTTGAAAATAATTGAATTGTTGAGACGAATTTTAATATTTCTTTTTAAATAATTGAATTCTTTTGTGAAATTTTATTAAAATGGTAGATATTAAAAATAATTGAATTTTGATAAATTATAGAAATTAATCAAATTTCTATGAAGAATTTTATTAAAACTATTTTGAAAAAAATTGATTTGTTTAAAAGAATTTCATTAAAATTTTTGAAAATATATAAATTCTTTCAAGAAATTCTTCTATGGAATTTTAATATTTAAGAAAATAATTGAATTCCTGCAATCAATTATATTAAAATTTTATTAAAAATAATTGAATTCTTTTAAAGAATTTTATTATATATGAAAATAATTGAATTCTTGCGATGAATTTTATTCAAAAGAATTGAATTCGTCTAAAGAATTTTATTATTTATGAAAATAATTGAATTCTTCTAAAGAATTCTATTGTTTATGAAAATAATTGAATTTCTGAAATGAATTTTATTAAAAATAATTGAATTCGTCTAAAGAATTTTATTCTTTATAAAAATAATTGAATTCTTGCTATGAATTTTATTAAAAACAATTGAATTCTTGCGATGAATTTTATTCGAAATAATTAAATTCGTCTAAAGAATTTGATTGTTTATGAAAATAATTGAATTCCTGAGATGAATTTTACAAAAATTTTATTAAAATTAATCGAATTCTTATAAAAAATTTTATTATTTATGACAATAATTGAATTTGTTTAAAGAATTTTATTATTTATGAAAATAATTGATCTCTTGCTATGAATTTTATTAAAAATAATTGAATTCTTCTAAAGAATTCTATTATTTATGAAAATAATTGAATTCGTCCTAAGAATTTTATTATTTGTAAAAATATTTGAATTCTTGCGACAAATTTTATTCAAAATAATTTAAATTCTGCGAAAAGTTTGATTATTTATGAAAATAATTTATTTATTGCGAAGAAATTTATAAAAAGTTTGTAAATAAATGAATTCCTGTGAAATTTTTATTATTTAATGAATTCATTAAAAATTGAAATATGACAAAATTTTAAATTAAAACCTTTTAAATTTCATGTATTTAAGAAAATTGCGAACGCAACTCTTTTAAAATTGAATCAATTTTAAAATATTTAGATTTCAAGAATAAGCACAATAACTTTAGAAAAAAATTTATTTTCCAGAATTCCTATCAAAATTCCCTGACCTTTCTAAGTTTTTTCAAGGTTTCAAGTGTAATCAATAATTAATTAATTATTATGTATTGCTTCGGAGGGGAGAGGAGATGGAAAAATTGTCGTTGTAAGGCTATGAAAATCAAAACGACGATGTTGCGACGTCCGTGAGTAATGAGTGAATGCCCGACTGGCAGGGGAGACCGCTCCTTATATACTCGCGCGGTGGGGGAAGTCTCTCGCAATTGGCGCAAGCGCGAGCGAGTGGGGAGTCTCGAACTCTCTTCGGGGAAATCGACGCGACGCGCGCAACTAATACACAGTGGGACTGTGGGAGGAGCTAGTCTCTCTTCAAGTGCGTGCTCTGTCAATTTCGCCTCTCTTACATTCATTACACATTCCATCACATTCAATTAGAATCATTTTGCTGTCTAGCTCCGTTTTGAGAAATTCTTTAAATAAATCGCAAATTACCAATTTTGCGATTTTTAACCCCATCTTCCAAAAATTTGCGAAAATTAACTTTTTTCTTATTCCAAAAGAGCGTCGCTGGCGGCAGAGAAGCACGGGCAGCGACAGCAGCACAGGAAGTAGTGACGCAAGTGTCTGGACAACGGGGGTAATGCAAAAACAATCAAGGGGTAAAAATGGAATGGAAAATTGGCCAATTGGACGAAGATTCGTTCGTGTGAAGACATTGGAGGAGGGGGTGATTTTTATAGGCAATCGACCACTTGAACGTAGTGAAAGTAGTGACAATACGGAAAATACAGCAACAACTACGACATCAACACTTCCTAGAACATTGCCATTGGTATAAAAATTGAAAAACAAAATTTCTTTCTCTATCTCTCTCTTTCTCTCTTTCATTCATTATCACTAATCAATCTTTTTCTCTAGGTCATTTAAACATTTCTCATCAAAAAATTTGAAAAAGTCATCAAAAATATTCTTTTTTTCTAAAAAAAAAACTTCCTAAACGTCCACTTTCCAGAAAACAATGATTACAACCTAACAATCGAAGGGACCTTTTGCAGGAAAAAGAAGAATTTGGTACGAAGACGAAAAAAATGGATGATGATGATGATGACAATTCACGGGAGGGGAGCGAGAGCGATGCGAGTTGGAGTAGTACCGAAGAGGTTAATGAAAAAAAGGCGAATCTTGTAATTTTAGAAGAAAACGTCGATACTCAACATGAGTCTAAAGTTCTAAACTAATATAGCTCGAATTTTTATTTTCAAGGAAAATTTCTTTTTAAATTACTTTTTTCTTTAAAAATTAGAAAATTTTTTTTTTTTTAAGTGATTCAAATTTCCTTTCTTATAAGGAATCGAAATTACTTTTTTAAGAAAAGGAATTAAGAATACTTTTTTAAAAAAGGAGTTAAGAATACTTTTTAAAAAAAAAGGAGTTATGAATACTTTTTTAAAAAAGGAGTTATGAATACTTTTTAAAAAAAGGAGTTATGAATACTTTTTTAAAAAGGAACTAAGAATACTTTTTTTTTTAAAAAGGAACTAAGAATACTTTTTTTTAAAAAGGAACTAAGAATACTTTTTTTAAAGAAATGAAATTAAAATTACATTTCTTACGAAAATGATTTTTTAAAAATTTTATTTCTAAGTAACTCGACATTCCTAATTTTTTTAAGTAGCTAGAGTAATCGACGTTACATATCCGAAGACTATATTTTTATACTTCCACAAAACAAAAATTGCCAATAATTTAAGAAATTATTTTCATTTGACTAAAATACTCAACAATATAAATACTTTCAATTATTAATGTTATTAATTTCTAATTGTTAAAATTTGTAATTAAATTCAAAAAAATTTTTAATGAATTAAATACGTCGTGAAATAAAAATCGACAAATTTAAAAAAGAAATCCGACAAAAATCGCGATTAAAAATTGATAATTAGTTTTGATTAAATTATTTAGTAATTTATTTTTAAATTTAAGTTTAAAATTAGTAATTTATTTTTAAATTTAAGTATTAAATTAGTAATTTATTTTTAAATTTAACTATTAAATTAGTAATTTATTTTAAAATAAAAATTAGGCCCCAATAAATTACTGTCAAATTGAAAATTAATTTTTTTTTTTTTTTTTTTTTTTTTTTTATTAAATTAATAATTTATTAAATTTCAACATAAAAAAATTGATGGTTCAAAAAATAGATTAATTGTAAATTAATAATACTTTCTTAATTATGATAAGGTAATAAATTAAATAAAAAAAATGTCACAATGACTCTTGTAAATATAATAATATATAAATAAGGAGTGTTCATGAAAAATTTTCCTAGTGATAAATGTTGCATGAAGCAGTATTTTAATAGATTTAATGATAAATGTTAAGATAATCTAAAATTAATGTACACATTTTTTGACACCATTCTTTTTTATACATAATACATTGAGACAAAAAAAAGAAAAAATAATACTCTTTTTCTATTTTTTACAACTTGCACAAACACGTTGCTCTATTTCTCTATCGAGTACCTGAATATTTTAAGTTTTTAAAATATTTTTTACCAAAGAAAAAAAAATAAAGAGAAAAAAAGAACGAAAAAAAAGTCAAAGTACTTTTTTTTAAAAATAAATTAATTATTTAGTAAAACAATTTCTATGCTTGACTGACTTTGTCATTCTCATTTTCATTCTGTATTCTATTGTCTTGAGAAAAACAACTTGTAAAATACGTAAATGTATAAATATATAAATAAATATATAAATAGATATATAAATAAATATATAAATATATATATATAAATAAATTAATAAATATATATATATAAATAAATTAATAAATATATAAATAAATAGGTAAAAAAGATGTTATTCAATGAGAGGAAAATTGCATTCCAAAAAATAAAAATACAAAAAAATGTATAAGAAAATCTGTCTGAAATTAAAACTGCGAATGTTTATTGCGAATAAGACACATATTTATAATATATTATATATATTATATATTTATTTATTGAACAGGCAATAAATGACCTTAAATGCAGGAAAAAAAATCTGTACCATCTGTTTTATAAATATTATATATTATAATATATATTTAATATTATAATTTAATATTTTATATTATATTCAATTACATTACAAAATATATTATAAATATAATATATTATAAATTTTGAAATGTTTACCGGACAAAAGAATGATTGTCAGAATATATATATATATATTATTAAATCACAAAATATAAAGTTGTATAAAAAATAATTTTTTGTGTATTGTTGTAAATCCTCTCATTATAAAATGTAAATTTTCTGTTAAATTATTTTTAATCCCCGCCCCCTCCCTTTCCAAAATAATTTGTTTTTAAATATTTATTAACTTGTAAATAAATTTTTTACTTTTGAAACGGAATTATAATTTACAAAATTTTTAAGGGCATTTGAACCTTGATGACGTCACACATGCTTTGCACAATCTGTAACGTCATCAAGGTTCAAATGCCCTTAATTCAAAAAATAAATTATAATTTACAAAAATTTTAATTCAAAAATGAAATTATAATTTACAAAATTTTTAATTCAGAAACGAAATTATAATTTACAAAATTTTTAATTCAAAAACGAAATTGTAGTTTACAAAATTTTAAATTCTGAAACGAAATTATATTAAAAAAAACATATTAAAAATTGATAAACGAATTTATAATTAAAAAACAAATTTAAAATTGAGAAACGAAATTATAATTAAAAAAAACAAATTAAAAATTGATAAACGAATTTATAAAATTAAAAAATAAAAATTGAGAAACGAAATTATAATTTATAAACAAATTGAGAAATTATAATTTATAAACAAATTGAGAAATTATAAATTATAAAACACAAACAAATTAAAAATTTAGAAACGAAATTATAATTTATAATCAAATTAAAAATTTAAAAACAAAATCATATTTATTATTAATGAAAACATAACTTAAAATAAAAAATAAATCTGTTTAAGAATTTGATTCTGAAACTACTTGAAAAGAATAAATTTTATTTATTATTAGTTGAAAGTAATAAAAAAATTAATTTTTATTCTAAAATTCTGTTATACATATTTTTTTTCGCTTAACTTATATGATAATTAAGAGAAGCACTTATTTTCTCGGTTCTAATCGTCAATTAATTAACAATTTAAATTTTCAAATTAACATTTAGTAATTAACCCAAATTAACATAATCAGGTTTAATTAAAAGTAAAAAAAATCAAAAGACATGTTTAAGAATATTTTACTCACAATTTGTCTCGATTTCCTTGATAATTGAAAATTTTCTTCGTGTAAAAAAAGAATTTTCCTGATTTTTGGCAAAGCTGAAAAAAAATATTTAATTATTAATTTATTTATTTAATAAATTATATTATTATTTTATTATTACTTAATTTATTTAATATTATATTATTTATTTTATTAATAATCTTTAACGTCCTTTAATATTTAATTATTGAAAATAAGACGACCACAAAAGGACAATAATTATTTATTTTTATATTTATTATTATTATTTTATTATATTTATTATTAATATTATATTGTTATTAATATTACATTTTTTATTCAATTTAAATAATATTTTACTTATTTTTTTGCAAAATTTAGAAAAGTAAAAAAAAATTGTATTGTAAAAATATGTAATAAATTTTATTTGAGGAAATTTAATTATCCTATTAAACAAACTATGATGAAATATTAATTAACTTAATTATGAACTCAATTAAATTAACCAATTACGTTCAAATTACCATAAAAGTAATGACTTTTATATATACATATATATATGGCAAGATGCAGTAAAACAATGATCGATAAAATGCAATTAATTTAAAAGTGTATTTACGTTATTTAGTAGTTAATTATCATTTTTCTTGATCAATAATAATTAACAATTAAAGAAGAAATTAACTCGAGAATTCATTCAAGAAAAATACATTTTTAACTATAATTAATTAATTAGGTACATAAAAGTTTATAGTTCAAATAAATTTTAGACTTTTAAATAAAAATTTAAATAAAATAAATAAATTTAAATAAAAAATTTTTTTTTGTAAATTATGTAAATTTTTTCTAAATTATACCGGCAGAAAATATATAGTAATAATAAGACTAACAACAAGAATAATTAAAATTGTTTTCAGTGAATTTAAATAATCGGGATAAAAAGAAGCAAAAGAAAAATAAAGTTTGATTGTTAATTAATAATAAATTGTTAATAATGAATTATTATTATAAATATTATTATTATATATAAATAATAATATAATAATAAAAATAATAATAATATCTAATAATAATAATAATAATAACAATAAATAGAGAATAATAATTACATATTTATTAAAATGAAATTAAGATTTATGATTTAATAATAACAATGTATAATAAATAAAAGAAAAATACTACGTTTTTATTTTTAAAAAAATAATAAACTTTTGCGCTAAATTCAATTTTTTCAGGAAACAAATTACTGCGCAAGCTTTGAATCGATTTTTAACCTATCAGCTGCTGTGTTGTTTGCAAATTCACTGTCAAAAAATTATTTTTGCATTCAATTTCTCAATTTTCAATGGAACAAGAGACGAAATTTTGTATGTGTTTTTACACTTTTTTTTAAATAATGGAGAATAAAATTTTCAATAACTTCCATAAAATGGAATTTTTTCCATTCAATATTTATTTGAAGTCTTCATTTTCAAAACATCAATGATAAAAAATTGTCGTACGGTAAGTTTTCGTTTTCTTTCTAATTTTAAATATAAACAAATTGGTATTTAAAAACAAATTTTTATTGTTCAAAGTAATTTGTTATTTAAATTTTTTTTTATTTTTTGAATAGAATAATTTATTATTTAAAACAAATTTTTATTTCAAATAAAATTGTTCAAAGTAATTTATTTAAAATTTTTTTTTTATTTTTTAAATAGAATAATTTTTTATATAAAACAACTTTTTATTTCAAATAAAATATTATTTAAAACGATTTATTATTTTTAATGTCTAGCATTGTTATTAAAAGATTGCAATTTGAGAAAGTTAATTCAAAAATTTTAATTAAAAAATTGAAAAATTATAATTAACAACTCTTTTTTATTATAAAATGTATAATATAATTTTAATACAAGTATATAATAATATATAATATTCTATTATAAATTCTATTATAAATTTTATTATAAAAAAAATAGTTTAAAAATTTATAAAAGAAACGTAAAAAAGTGAAATTTGTAAATAAATAAACCCCGATTGTTATTATTTTTCTTTACACAGATTTGTATATGAAACGCCGCAATCAAAACAATAGTTTTAGTTCAAGGGAGGAAAAATGCAGGAAAATAAATTTCAATAGAAAAAGGAAAAAAATTGTTAATTATCAATCTAAACAAAAATTAATGGATTCAATAAATATTTGCACCATTTTAAACAAGTAAGTGTTTAGTTAAATATTTATTATTTGTTAATATAATTATATTTTCTTTTTTTTGTACTGAAAAATTTTGAGAGCATTCCGATATTGTCTAGTGGCAAGCATACCTGACAAATTTATTATTTAAATTTATTTTATATTTAAAAAAATAAAAATAAAGAACAAGAAACAGATTTTACTATTATTAATTTATTAATTAATTAATAATAATATAATTTTGGTACTGAAAAGTTTTTAATTATTTTGACTGCTTTGAATTCCGATATGTTCTAGTGGCAAGCATACCTAACATTACTCATTGTTTAAATAATTAAATTTATTTTATAGAAATAAATAAAAATAAAGAATGATATATAGTTTTTAATATTATAAATAATTTTGGTATTGAAAAGTTTTGAAAGCATTTTGACTGCTTAGAATTCCGATATGGTCTAGTGGCAAGCATACCTTACATTATTTATTATATAAATAATTAAAATGTATCGTATAGAAAAAAAATAATGAATAATAAATAGATTTTATGAAAACAAATATTGACAATAATTTATTTTGCAAAAATATTAACAAAAAAATTAATCTAATATTTTTTTATAACAAAAAAGAAATTCAATAATGTACTTACAGAGTAAAATTATTGTAAATAATTAAATTTTAACTTTCTTCACAAACATTATAAGCGCGCTCGTAATCAACTTTAGTCGAGAAAAGATGAAAATCAAGTGACAAATATGTGCGTATAAATTCTTATGTAATTATAGAACGCAAACAAATGTACAAAGGACAATAATATTGCTTAGTAATCTACCATTCGTTTTATACGATAAATGATTAAATTAAAAAATTGCAAATATTTTATATATTTAATTTCTTATTTACAAAAAAAAAGTGTAATCAATAACAAAAATTTTTTTTTTAAATTCGGCATTTTTTTTGCTCCGTTTATCATAAATTAATAAATAAATAATAATCTGATGATAAATAATTATAAAGTTATACGAACATCTTGAGATTCAATATGAAGCTGCTTTTCAACACCTGCAACGCCAAGGTCACCGCTAGGTGGCAGTTCAGTTGATAAAATCAGTTTCTACGCCACCTAGTGATGATGTTGACGTTCTCAAGTGGACTAATAATAATAATAATGTCAGTAATAAATAAATAATAAATAAACAATAAATAAATAATACATACTTGAACAGTAAATAAGTAAATTATAAATGAATAGTATTAAAATTAATTTCTATTAAATTAATAACTTTTTTGTTTTAGATTCAATTTAAAATGGAAGAAAATTTTCCTAACCTCCCTCGTGGTATTTACAATTATTTTGATACCAACGATTGTTGGCGTTTTTAATACAAATCAAGATGAAAAATTAATTCCTCCTGATCCCGAATATTCACAACCACCATCGTGGAGTGTATTGAGAAAATTTAAAAAAGCCGCTGTTTGCGCCGATGGACCGCCTTGTGCATTAATTGGAAAGTACGTACAATAAAAAATGTAAATTATAGTCAAAAAAAATTTCTAAATAAAAATAACTTCCGGATGTCCTTAATAGCTCATATTATCGAAAATTAAAAAAAGAAAATTATTCTCACTATCAATACTAAGAATTATAAAAAATTAAAATTATTCTCACTATTAATAGTGAGAATTATCAAAAATTAAAAAAAGAAAAGTATTCTCACTATGAATAGTGAGGATAATTTTTTAAAAATTTTTGACAATATTTGTTTTCCGCAGGACAATATTAGAAAAAAATGGATCGGCAGTCGACGCAACATTGGCGGCAATGATCTGCAATGGCTTTATAAATATGCACAGTTTGGGATTTGGTGGGGGATTTTTCATGACAATTTACGAACGAAAATCGGAAAAGGCTTTTGTTTTGGACGCAAGATATTCGGCTCCGGCAGCAGCGCACAAATTTATGTTTCATGATAAGTCCGATAATGCCTCGAAAACCGGTACTATACTACTATTATAACAATATTTTACAATTATTTTAATCTCTAATTATTAATTATTATTAATATTATTGTTCTCTGAATGTAGCGTCGACGCTAAGCGTCCAAAAAATTTTCTTTTCTCCAAAAACCCAAAATTATTTAACAATTTTTTTTCTACAGATTTTAAGTTGAATTGATTAAATTAAAAATTACAGAAATTCGGATAAATGTAGTAAAACTAATGGCATTTTTATCACTAAAAACAAAACTATTTTTATGCTTTAAAAAAATAGTCTTTGACGCTCAGCGTCGACGCCAATTTTAGGGATTCAAATATTAATAATAATTAAAATTACAATTAAAAAATGGTTCATTTTACTGGGTTTAATTTTATTTAGGCAGTTTATCGGTGGCTGTACCAGGAGAACTAGCGGGTTACTGGGAGGCTCATAAACGATTTGGAAATTTGCCCTGGGCAGAATTATTCGAACCAAGTATTGAAATTTGCGATAATGGTTATAATTTGACAAAATCCCAGTATAAAGGTCTTCAGGAGGATAATTTCAATATTCACGATGATCCTACTCTCAAGTAATTATATTTTTTATTCTTGTATTTTTTCATAAAAATAATTTTTATATTACTGTTGCATTTTTTCATTTATTAATACAACTGTTTTTAATTTTATATAATATTTTTTCTATTATTATTATTTTTGTATTTCTACTGAAATTCGACGTAAAAAATTACCACTAGCGAGAAAGTCAATGGCGCCCTCTGGCAACTAATTCTAACGCGGGCTTTTTCAAATTTTCAAATTTATTTTTTTCGTTTTTCGTAAATTAATTTAATTTTGTTATTATAATTATTATAATTAAAATTTATTACTTTTAATTTTTCAATTACTTTTCAAGGAATAAAGAGGGAAAAAAATAAAAGGAAGAAAATTTCTAATTTTGAAATATAATTTCAATTTTTAGGGAAATGTTCATTGATCCTGAGACGGGCGAACTTCGAAAGCCGGGTTCAATAATAAAGCCAAAAAAATTATGCGAAACAATGCGATTAATTGCTAAAGAAGGTGTAAATATTTTCTACAATGGTTCATTGGGACTTAAACTTGTTGAAGATTTAAAGCAAAGAGGTGGAATTATCGAGATGAAGGATCTCAATGATTACAGGTTAATAACTTTAAAAAATTATTATTAAATTTTTAAAAAATTTGAAAATTGCAAGTAAAAATTAATAACAATAATAAAAATAAAAAATAATTGTAAAAAATTAATAATAGAAATAAAAAATAATTATAAAAAATTAATAATAGAAATAAACAATAATTATAAAAAATTTAATAGAAATAAAAAACAATTATAAAAAATTAATAATAGAAATAAACAATAATTATAAAAAAATTAATAGAAATAAAAAAATAATGAAAAGAAAAAAATTTTCAGAGTAAAATGGAGGGAGCCAGCGAGTACAATTCTTTCTAATGGAATAAAAGTTTATTCCTCGGGTGTTCCAGGCGGCGGGGATATTCTTATATTTCTTCTCAACATTTTTGATAATTTCCATTTCACAAAGGAGAGCATTGCTGACATTAATTCTTCGATAGTCACATTTCAAAATATGATAGAGGCATTTAAATACGCTTACGCATTTCGAACAAAACTCGGTGATTCCGATTTCGTCGATTTAACGCAAGTAATTATTTTTGCATTTCATATTTCAGAATATGATAAATTTTTCCATGTTTTCAAGAAATAAAATACTTCTTTCTTATAAGTAAATTAATTTAATTCTTATTACTAAAATTATATTGTAATTATTCTATTAATCAACTAAACGAAGTAATAGAATTTAATTAAATAAATAATAATAATTAAATGTAATTAAATAATTAAAATTTGAAAATAGAAAACAAATTTAATTAAATTAGTGTTCTGTTTGAATTTTCTTTTTTGAAAAAGAATTTTTTAAATTAATAATACTGACAAGTGGTATAAAATAAATTATAAACTATATTATATGTATATTTATGTAGTTGATTAGAAAGTTGCAATCGAAGGAGTTCGCTAAATTGCATTGGGAAAAAATCAACAGCGAGAGAACATGGAACGATCCATTTTATTATGGTTTTGAAGATAGTGGAAATTTTAATGATCATGGAACATCACATATATCAGTATTTGCACCAAATGGTGATGCTGTTTCCATTACCAGTACTGTCAATCTTTAGCAAGTATCAAATTTTCTCTTTTTAAATTTTTTTTCCCCTTTTAATTAAATTTAATGAAAATAATTTTTAATTTTTTAAATTGAAATAGTTTAATTAAAATATGCATGTTGGTCGTAGTCGTTGAGGCATTAAAATGCGTAAATTTGTTATACGTTCGAATCCCGGTGAGGGGAAAGATTTTATTAATTTAAATAAAATAATTATTTTTCTGTGGCAAAAATTCTTTTTCCTTAGTTTGAAGAGAGGTTCAAAAGATTTTTTTTTCTTAAGTGGAAAAAAAAGAAAAATTCTCTAGTGATTGAATATTTACCTAATAGTTAAGTAGAATGTTGTATTTCAATTTTCCCTCTTTTAATTATTATTCCTTTTTTTTAATTTTCAAAAATTAGTTTTGGAAGTGGAATCGTAAGCGAACAAACTGGAATTCTCCTCAACAGTGGAATGGACGATTTTGGCCTCGAATCAAAATTCAGTTATTTTGGAATTCCACCCAGTCAAAGTAATCTCATTGAACCTGGAAAAAGACCATTGTCATCAATGTCGCCAACAATTTTAATTGACAGCAATAATAATGTCAAAATGATCATTGGCGCTGCTGGCGGTACAAAAATAACAACTGCAATTGCTTTTGTACGACAATATTTACATAAAAACAAATTAATAATAAATAATAATAAAAAATAATAATAATAAAATAATAATTATAATTATAATAATAATAAAGTAATAATAATAATAAAATAATAATAATAATTATTATTATTATTATAAATAATTATTAAAAATAAAAGAAATAATAAATTTTTCTTAATTTTCATTTTTTAATTTCTTTTTTTGTTTTTTTTTCTTTGCAGGTGATTGCGAGATTTTTGTGGATGGGAAACACACTGAAGGAAGCAGTGGACGCGGCAAGAATTCATCATCAATTATTTCCAATGAAATTAATTTACGAATATGGAATCGAAAAATTAATAATTGAGGGTTTAAAAAAATTGGGACATCATACAATGAGATATAAAAATCACGCAAGCATTATTTCCGCAATTACGAGAGAAAATGAGACTATTTTTGCAAATGCAGATTACAGAAAAAGTGGCGATGTTTATGGAATCGATTGAAAAAAAAAATTGTAAATAAATTTTTTACTTTCAAAAAAAAAATTTTTTTTTATTAAAACTGACGATAATTATACGATGAGAAAAATTATAATTTAATTAATAGTTTCATTTAATTAAATTAATAATTTAAGTTAATTTAATTAATAGTTTCATTTAATTTAATTAACAGTTTAAATTAGATTAATTAATAGTTGGATTATTATTAAATTAACAGTTTAATTTAACATAATTAATAAATTATATTTTATTTTAATAATTAATAATTGAATTCTAACGTCAAACTTTATAAAAACTTTGAAAAATAATTCAATTTTATTAATATTGATGAAAATAATTGAATTTTTGCGAAGAATTTTTCTTATTTATTTAAAATAATTGAATTCTGGCGAGAAAATGTTATTAATTTTTTGAAAATATTTGAATATATTCGAGGAATTCAATTTAAATTTATTAAAAATAATTGAATTAATACGAAAATTTTTCTAAAGATTTATGAAAATAATTGAATTGTTTCAAAGAATTTTATTAAATTTTAAAAAAATTCAATTATTTTGAATAATTTGATTAAAATTGTACTCAAAGTAATTGACTTTTTACAAAGAATTGCATTAAAAATTTTGACATTAATTGAATTTTTTTAAAACATTATTTATTACAATTTTTAATATTAATTGAATTGAGAATTTTATTAAATTTAAAAAAATGCAATCATTTTGAAAAATTTGATTAAAATATTATTAAAAATAATTTAATTGAATAATTTTATTGAAACTGTATTAAAAATAATTTTTTTTTCGCAACGAATTTTATAAACAAATTTTGAAAAATTGAATAATTCATGTCGAAAATTTTATTGTTTGTGAAATTAATTTAATTCTTGTCAAGAATTTAATTAAAATTATTGAAAATAATTGAAATCTTACGAAAGATTTTATTATTTATAATTTATAATAATAATTAAATTCTTTCGAAGAATGTTATTAAAATTTTATTGAAAATAATTGAATTCTTAAATAAAATTTTATTAAAACTTAAAAAAAAATTCAATTCTTGAGAATATTTTTTCACATTTTTGAAAATAATTTAATCGAGGAATTTAATTATTATTTTATTGGAAATAATTGAATTCTCGAGGAGAATTTTATTAAACTTTTCTAAAAATAATTGAATTCTTTTATGAAATTTGAAAATAATTCAATTTTGACAACGAATTTTATAAACAAATTTTAAAAAATTGAATTCATGTCGAAAATTTTATTATTAATGAAAATAATTTAATTTTTTAAACGAATTTTATAAAAATTTATTATTATTATTTTTTCAAAATAATTAAATTGAATTCCCAAGAACAATTAAATTTCAATTTTGTGAAAATAATTGAATTCCTTTAAAATGAATTTTATAAAAATTTATTATTATATTTTTTCAAAATAATTGAATTAAATTCCCCTGAGGAATTTTATTTCAATTTGTGAAAATAATTGAATTCTTTTGAGAAATTTTACTGAAAATAATTGAATTTTTTTTATAAAAATTGTTAAACAATTTTGAAAATAATTGAATTTCTTTGAGAAATTTTACTGAAAATAATTGAATTTTGTTTATAAGAATTGTTAAACAATTTTGAAAATAATTAAATTCTTTCGAAAAATTTTATTAAAATTGTATTAAAAATAATTGAATTCATACGAAGAACTTTAATATTTATAAAAAATAATTGAAGAAGAATTGAAAAATAATTGAATTCATATGAAGAATTTTATTAAAATTTTTTAGAATGTAATTGAATTTCTTTGGGAAATTTTACTCAAAATAATTGAATTTTCACGAAGAATTTTATTATTTATGAAAATAATTGAATTATTACAAAAAGTTTTAATTTTTTTTTCTAATTTAATTCTTGAGTAAAATTTTATTACAATTTTTGAAAATAATTGAATTTTTTTAATAAAAGTTTTACTGAAAATAATTGAAATCCAGCGAAGAATATATTATTATTTTCGAAAATAATTGAATTCTTGCTACAAATTTTTACAAAAAGTTTTTTAAATAATTCAATTTATGCGGAAAAAATTTTATTATTTGTAAAAATAATTGAATTCCTGCGAAGAATTTAAATTATTTGCGAAACTATTTAATTATTTCGAATAATTTAATTAAAATGATACTAAAAATAATTAATAAAAATTAATACACGCAATTAAAGTTACAACAAAATTTCAATTATTATTAAATTTACAATTCATGCGAATGAATTATTTATCATCAGAAATTGGAAAAAAAAAATTTTATTTCAACAAAAAGGTGAAATATCGCAAATAACTTACAGCTGTTAAAACTCAGATTCACTTTATACAGTGAAATAATAATAAAAAAAAATTATACTAAAAAATACAATCGCACTCAAACACTAGTGCGTCAACAATAACCAAGATAAAATGTAATCAAACAAAGAAAATTAATTACTGAAAGAATTTATCATCACAACTTTGAATAATAATTATTTATTTATTTTCTTTTATTGCTCTGCTTTTTAAAACTAATCGCATGAATTGCAAAATTCACTTTCTCCGTAAAATGCGCGAAAAGAAAATTGACGCACGAACAAAAGTTTTCTTGACAATTTTTCACTTTGTGTAAATAGAAAATTAATAAAATTGTTTCTTTCACTAAATACGATAATTTCACTATTACTAAGTTGAATTATTTTTCTAAACGAAATACTTTCACTCAATGGAATAATTTTACTGTAAATATAAATATTTACTGCTTAAAAAGACAATTTTTTTTAGATATTTTTCCTGTTTTTAAAGATAATTTCACGAATTTTACAAAAAAGGCAATTTCGACAGATTTAATAGACACGGTAATTTTACGAAAGTTGATAATTTTACCAAAAGAGGATAATTCGTGAATTTACCCAAAGACGTCTATTTTCTTAAAGAAAATAATTTCATTAAAATAAATTCCCGCATTTGTTACGAAAATAAATTCAAACAAAATTGAAACGTTTTCTTAAATTAATTCGGAAAGAGAAAAAATATTTGTGTATATAATTATTTTGACGCAAGTTTTATTTTTACCTTTTTATAGGTTATGTTCCTTATTTCTTTTACCCTTTTTTACCTCGATTTACCAGCAGTTACGATAAATACACGATACACACTTGTGGACCTTGTGAACCTTGTGAATTATTAATTACAACCTAATTATCAATCGATAATTAACTAAACTATTCTCATTTGTTAAATTGAAAGAAATAATTTCTCAATTAAACAAACTTGTTTTTACTCTATTCTAATATATTATTTTCATCACAGATCTCGATGAATTCCTTTTTTTTTTGACACTTTCAAAGTAAGAAACTTGACGAACCAATGAAAATCGACCTCGTCGTGCGCATGCGCATTTAAATTCACCGTGTCTATAAAAGAGACGGGCGCTGTTTTTACAAAAACCAGTTGTATTCGTGAAATCTATTGTGGACAATTTGTTTTCTCCGCAAACAAAACAAATTTTATTTATTTCGGAGACAAAAGGTTTTCTTCTAAAGAAGAAACTTTTACCCCTTTTTCTTTATTTTTTTGAGAAAAGAAATTTGAATAGAGCAGCAAAAAAGAAAAAGTGTTAATTATGTCTGAGGATCATTTTGATGAATACGAGCATTTCAACTACGATTATGATAAGCACATCTTCAGTGCTCACAGTGGAAAACAAAGAAGCAAACGTGAGGCAATTCTCCATACAAATCATTTCGATCCAAGTGGACATTCACGAAAGATCGTTACTAAATTAATGAATTCCGAGCACAATAAACGACACGTTGAAAAAAATAAATCCTAAAGAAGAATATTTGGCGCAGAACGAGAGGCAAAAAAAAAAGGTAAAAATTAATATTCAACTATTTTCTTTTCGAATTTTATTAAATATAAATAAACAAGTATCTTTTGATTTCAAGGTCAAATTCTTTTTATTTTGCGGCGTAAAATAACTTGTGTGACAAGATGGCGGCACTTGTTTTGTATATAAAAAAAAAATTGCGTCTTATTTGAATTTTACGAGACCTTGAAACGGATTTAAAATTAAAATAATTCATTCACAAGAAACTTTATAACCAAAAAGTCGATTTTTAATTTATTCCAGTCCTTTTTTCTCGATATTCGTGTCAATGACGTGTATATTTTTAACCTAGATTGTTTATATTCCTTTTTTTCATGACTAATGCAACAATGATAATAATAAACAAATCATATTTTCTCTTGCAGTAAAAATGATGCAATTTGTAATTTTAAAATTGAAATTCATTTCATTGTTATTGTAGAGAATAAAAAGGTGCTTTTGAAAATAATATTTTTAAATTATTATCTCCGTATATGTTAAATATTTACATTTTTAGCGAAAAATAGAATAAGTAAGCGAGCGTCGTGTGTATAAATGCAGATAAGATTATTTACATAAATAAGAATATCTCACGTTCGAGAAGTTTCTAGAAAATGAAACGGAATTTTAATGTCCATGCGCAGCAGAAATTATTATTATTATTATTATCAATATTTTATTATTTTTATTTTTTAATATTATTTTCACTACTTTAATTTTTAAAATTATTATTATTATTAAAAAAAAATAAAAATTTATTATTTATAAAATAAAAAAAAAAAGAATTATTATTATTATTATTATTTTCATTATTTTTTAAAATTATTTTAATAATTATTTTTATTATATTATTACTATTTTCAATATTTTTTCATTATTTCTTACATTTTCATTATTTTATTACTATTTTTTTCATCATTATAATCAATTTAAGGTAGTACGCTCGTGATCGCACTTTTCTATAGAATTTCATGAAATTTGAAATCAGAATAGTTAATAACAAGATCTATGTATTTGCAAAATATTAAAAAAATTGACCGTTTCTAAAACAAGATATTTAAGTTCAAAGTTTGTTATTTAACATGGTTAACCTATGAAAAGTGCATGTAAACGGCACATTTCTTCTAATAACTTCTAAAATTTTCTATAGATTGTTTTAAAAAACTAATATATTATAAATGAATGTTTGAGAATTTTATAACAAAAAGATTTAACAATATTAACCGTTTCAGTTAAAAGATATAATATAATATAATATTCTAACTTGACTAGTATACTTGTGTGTGAGTGTGTCTGTACATAGGGCTGACTATGTATTCAGTACAGTCCAAGCAAAAATATGCTACAGTAACTGCACCATACTATAGCATTTTATTAAAATTTACTTTTGAGAGTGACTGTCGCGAGCGTACTACCTTAAACATTCGTACAACGTAATCATTATTTCTATTATTATTATTTCATTGAAACATTCAATTTTAATATTTTTTCAATAATTCAATAATAATTTGCAGTTGAATATTGAATATTATATATATTAAGGATCAATTAAAACATCAAAATATATCATTTTTAACTTTATTTTTATTGAATATTATTTTTTTTTACTATTATCAATAATTTTGACTATTTTTATTATCATTATTGAGGTATTAATATTATTAAATTGTTAAATTATTAATTATTAAAAATTATATCAATTTTTTAACTTTTTAAACATTTAGTGGAAAAAATTATTAATTAACTAAAATTCAACGTTTAAATTGTAATTTAAAAATTTGAAAGTTTTTTGCTACCAGCAATAAAAATAATAATTATAGCATTTAATAATTAAATTTTATAATAAAAAAATATTTAAAAAAAAATGTTAATATAAACGTGAGTAAAATTTTTTTGAAAATATATACAAAGTGTACAAAATAAAAAATTAATAAATATATAAATAGAAAAAAGTAAAAATAGAAAAAGGTAAAAATAAAAGAAGATAAAAAATAGAAAAAATAAAGAGTAAAAAATAATAAAAATATAAATAGACGAAAAAATAGAAATTAAAAACAATAAAAATAGAAAATAAATATTATTAAAATTTTTTTGAAAACTTTGATAAATACTTCAATTCCTGTGAAGAATTTTATTAATTTTGAAAATAAATTGAATTAAGTTTCTTTTTTTAATTATTAAAAATAATTGAATCCTTGCGAAGAATTTGAATTAATTTTTTTACAATAATTGAATCGAGAAACTTAATTGAAAATTTTATTAAAAATAATTGCATTCCGGCGACGAATTTTTTGTTATTTTTAAAAATAATTGTATTTTTGAGGATAATTTTTTAATTAAAATTGTCCAAAAATAATTGAATATTTTTGTGAAATTTAAAAATAATTGAATTTTTGAAGAGAATTTTATTACTTTTCAAAATAATTGAATTTCTGAAAAGAATTTTATTACTTTTCAAAATAATTGAATTTCTAAAAAGAATTTCACAATTTTTCAAATTTTTAAAAATAATTGAATTCTTACATTAAATTTTATTCAAAATTTGAAAAATAATTTAATTCTTTAGAAGAATTTTATTATTTTTGAAAATAATTAAATTTCTGAGAAGAATTTTATTATTAATAAAAATTATTATTGAATTCCTGAGACGAATTTTTTTATTTATAAAAAATAATTCAATTTTTTTATTTTTGAAAATAATTGAATCGAGAAACTTAATTGAAATTTTATTGAAAGTAATTGAATCTTAACAAAGAATTTTAATTAAATTTTTTGAAAATAATTGAAATTCTTAAGTCAAATTTTATTCAAATTTTAAAAAATAATTCAATTCCTGCGAAGAATTTTATTATTTTTGGAAATAATTGAATTTCTGAGAAGAATATTATTATTTGTGAAAATAATTGAATTTTCACGAAGAATTGTAATTAAATTTTTAAAAATAATTGAATCGAAGAACATAATTGAAATTTTATTGAAAATAATTGAATTTATGAGAAGAATTTTTTTATTTTTTAAAATAATTGAATCTTAACGATGAATTTTAATTACATTTGTGAAAATAATTGAATCTTATGTAAGAATGTTAATTAAATTTTTGAAAATAATTGAATCGAGAAATTTAATTGAAATTTAATTGAATATTAATTGAATCTTAAAAGAAGAATTTTAATTAAATTTTTGAAAATAATTGAATTCTTAAGTCAAATTTAATTGAAACATTAAAAAACAATTCAATTCTAGCAAAGAATTTTATTATTTTTGAAAATAATTGAATTTTTGGAGAAAAATGTTATTATTTGTAATAATTGAAAAAAAAATAAAATTAATAACAATTAAAATAGAAAATAAATTTAAACAAAATAAATTTTAAACAAAAATTGAAAAACATAAGAATTGAAAAAATGTAAATAAATAAAATATAAAAAGCTTTTTTTTAGGGGGAGGGGGGGGAATAAAAAGTGTTGTTTGGGGATTAAGAATTGTAAAATACTTTAAAAAGAAAATATAAATATATAAAAAATTACAATAATGAAAATATTACCTAATAATAATAATGAAAATTTTAATTAACAAAATTTTTTCTCTTTGTTCCAGGAAACAAAAGTTCCCAAAAATTCATCGGAAAAAACGAAAAACCCTCGTTGGCAAAAAATTTTCTCCAGGATCTGAAGGAACACTGCTTTCTTTTTTTTAATTACGTATTAAGAAAACAACAACAAAAAAATGTGAAAAAAATGAAAAAATTGCATTTAAACGTTATAAATAATGTTTCAATTCTAAGAAACCATAAAAATAGCAACCATAGTTTCATCATTGATTGATGTTGTTTCACACTATGCGATTTGCATTATTATTACTTATTTAAAATAAAAAAAAAAATTTTTTTTTTATTATTTATTTCCCTTTTCGGAAATAAGTAGTCATAATATCGATTTATGAAAATATAATTTTAATGTAGAATAAGCGCAAAAAAAAGCGAAAAAAAATATTAGAATAGTTACACTATAATAAAACGTGTGCTGTTTCTTAGGAATTTTAAGTAAAATAAAAGAAAAGATGTAACTTTTTTTTCTAAGTTATTATTAGAAAGAAAAACAAAAAAAAAAACAAATGTTTTAATTCTATTGTTAAAAGAAATACATTTTTAATGTGTGTGAGGAGAGAAATAATAATTCTGGAATTATGTAGAATTATAAGTAACTCATGATCTTAATAAATAGAAAAATATATAAATACCTGTTTTCATTTCGTTTGTTTGTTCCTTTTTTACATTTTCCTTTTGGTCCGTTTTCACTTTTTCTTTCGTTTTTCTCGTGTTCGTTCCTTGTGTTTTATTTTTGTCCAGCGTTTCAAATTTATTCACTTTCACGCATTTATTTATTATTTTCGTTTCGAACTTTCATTATTTGTCACTCTTTTCGTCTTTTTTTTCTCTTTTCATTCTTTTCAGTTTTTCCTTTTTCAGTTTTTTTTTCTTTTTTCATTATTTTCTTTCCTTTCACTTTTTTCACTCTCTTTTCACTAATCACCACACTACTTTTGACTTTGTCGATTCGATTACGAAGAAGCTTTTTGAAAAAAATTAGTTCCATAGAGTTTTTAATTAAAAGTATGAAAAATTCAAATATTCGAATATTTTAATTTGAAACCTTTACAAAATTGCAATTATTAGTAACTTCTCCAAAATTCAATTATTATCTAAAACTTTAACTAAAATTAATTTTTAAATCAAATTTTATTAGAAAATTTTACGAGAATTCAATTATTTAAATAAAAAAACACATAATTTATTAAAGAATTAAAAGTTTTTAAAATTTAATTCTTATATACATAATTTATCAATAAATTTTAAAATAATTGAATTCTTTCGACGAATTAAAATTAAATTTTTAAGAATATTTACATTCTTCGAGAAATTTAATTAATGTTGTATTAAAAATAATTGAAATTCTGAGATAAGTTTTATTTTATTTATGGAAATAATTGAATTATTACGAAGAATTTTATACGAGAATTTATTTTTTGAAAATAATTCAATTATTCCTGTAAAGAATTCAATTACTTTTAGTAAATAATTTAATTCCTGTCAAGAATTTTATGAAAAGTTTTTAAATAATTAAATTCCTGCTAAGAATTAAAAAAAATTTTGAAAATAATTAAATTCCTTCGAAGAATTTCATTATTTTTAGAAAATAATTGAATCTTAACGAAGAATTTTAATTAAATTTTTTGAAAATAATTAAATTCTTAAGTCAAATTTTACTCAAATTTTAAAAAATAATTCAATTCCTGCGAAGAATTTTATTATTTTTGAAAATAATTGAATTTCTAAGAAGAATTTTTTTATTTTTGAATATAATTGAATCTTAAGGAAAAATTTTAATTCAATTTTTGAAAATAATTGAATCGAGAAACTTAATTGAAATTTTATTGAAAGTATGTAATTGAATCTTAACGAAGAATTTTAATTAAATTTTTTGAAAATAATTGAATTCTTAAGTCAAATTTTATTCAAATTTAAAAAAATAATTCAATTCCTGGGAAGAATTTTATTATTTATAAAAATTATTGAATTCTGGCTAAGAATTTTCATTAAAATTAAAATTCATTAAAAATATAATTGAATTCTTCCCATAAAATTTAATGAAACTTTGGAAAAAAAATTCAATTCTTGCAGGACTGAAGAATTTTATTATTTATAAAAATAATTCAATTCCTGCAGAAGAATTTTATTATTTATAATAATTATTATTCAATTTTTGGTATGAATTTTACTGGTTTCTTTTTTAAATAATTGAATTTCTATGAATAAATTTGTTAAAATAATTGAATTTCTGTGAATAATTTTTTTTGTTTTTTTTTTTAAATAATTTAATTATTGCGAAGAATTTTAATAAATTTTGAAAATAATTAAATTTCTCTGAATAATTTTATTATTTTTTAAAAATAATTGAATTCCTTCGAAGAATTTCATTATTTTTAAAAAATAATTGAAATTCTGCAATGAATTTTATTACTTATATGAAAATAATTGAATTATAATGAATGCGAAGAATTTTATAAAAAAAAGTTCCAAACAATTGATTTTTATCTAAAAAATTTATGCAAATTCTACTATTTTTAATAATTGAATTCCTGTGAAATTTTATTATTTTAGAAAATAATTGAATTTTCGTTAATAACTTTGTCAAAATTGTTTTCAAAATATAATTGAATTCTTTTGTGAAATTTTATTAAAATAATAGATATACAAATTATTGAATTAAGAATCAATTTTGAAAATAATTGAAATTTTGCAATCAATTTTATTAAAATTTTTGAAAATAATTTAATTTTATTACTTTTGTCTGAAAATAATTGAATTTTACAAAGAATTTCATTTAAACTCCTGAAAATAATTGAATTTCGGCGAAGAATTTTGCTACTTATTTGTAAAAAGAAATTGAAATGTTGACAAGAATTTAAAAAATAAATTTTTTGATAATAATTGAATTTTTGTAATGAATATTGTTATTTATGAAAATAATTGAATTTGACAATGAATTTTATAAAAATCCCTGTAAATAATTGAATTTCGGCGAAGAAATTTGAGAGAATTTAAAAGTCCGTCAAACCTAACCTCAAAATCTGCGCAAAATTCGGAATGTGAACAAAAGTACTCGACGTACTCGACTAGAAGCAATAGAACAAACCTTTTCCACAATTCACTTGAATATCCGAATTTTTCCTGAGAATTCTAAGCAAATAAACTATTTTCCACTCTTATACTTTTTCACAACCGTTTCTTTTCTCTATTTCCGAAGAGAGTTCCGAGTTTTCCGAATAAACGCGGTCTTTTCCCCAAGACACAAGCGCCACTACTGAACTACCAACCAAAGTCACCAGATCGATAACTAGCTTTCATCCGTCGGTAAAGTAGATTCCCCAAATTATCCACAGTCAACAAGTAATAATTCTAAAAAAACCAGATTAGAAACGTGCCTTGACTTAGAATTTTTTTTTTTTGAAAAAATCATTAAAATTTTTCAAATTACAACCACTTTATTTGCATTGTGTCAATTCAATTGAAACAGTTACAGGAATATTCTGAAATTCAATAATAATGAAATCATAAAAGGTTTTTGTTTCACAATATGGCGAACTACGACAAAGGACGCAGGAAGTGGGGAGATATTTCACAAGGTACTTTTAATATATTATTATTTTCCCCAAATTTGTTAAATTTCTCAATTGAAAAATTTTCTTTTAAAGAAAAGGTATTTTTAAAATTATTCCTTTAATTGCCAGCTGGTAATTTTATTTGAAAGATATTTCATTCTTAATTTTGTAAATTTTAACCTCTCCGTAAACAAAGCTAACCTCAAAAATAAAGTTTGCATTGTTGAAAAATTTGATTTTTTTTTGTTAATTAGAAATAGGATTTGTAGCGATAATTGTTAATTTTTGCCAGTGAATATTTTTTTCGATTATTAACAATTTTTTTCTCCTTTGATTCTTTTTTTTTGTTCTTTTTTTCCAAATTACTTTTCGAAGTGATCGAATTTTTTTTTTTTTGCGGAAAAAAGAAAATTTGTCAGTGCAAATTCTTCTACTGTCAATATTTTTTCGAGAAATATTCTTTTCTTTTTTGAAGGAAAAATTCTTTTGTCGGTTCAATTCGATTTTCAATTCTATTTTCGGTTTTTAAATATTCCGGTTTTTTTTTTAATGTCAGAATTTTTGCATTTTCGTTTTGTAAACAATTGTGTTTTTTTCTCCGAAATAAAAAAGGAAACATAATATTTTCTTGTTTTATTTCTGAATGGAAGTGATAATTTTTCCAGTAAAACGTATAAATATTTCGAAATAAGAAAAAAAAGTGTAAAAATAAATTAATTAAAATTTTTTTTTTTTGGGGGGGAAATTTTTAGAGAGTGAAAATTATAAATACGACGATAGATTATCGGGGGGAATGAGAGGAGGCGGTGGAAATCGTGCACCACCTCAGGCACTTTATCGTCCTGGGAGTGGACCATTGCGAAAATCGGGACGAGGCGATGAATTTGAGAATGATAATAATTTTCATCATCACGATAGAATAAAACCATCACCACCACCACAGCAACAACAGCAACAACAACAGCCACCACCTGCATCAATTGCCTATCGTTTGAGAAATTGTCAATTTCCAAATTCGTCGAGTGGTCAGGAGAAAATATTACCATCGTCTTGTGATATTGATGATGTTTCGTCGAAATTTAATGATTTACATGTCAACTATAAAAATAGTAGTAATCATCATCATAATCAAGGATCGTCGAAATTAAATCATCATCAACATCATATTATGTCAATTGATCCAAGGAAAAAGAATAAAAAACCCGAGCAACAATTGTATGTACCAAAAAAAGTGAAGGAGGCTCTCGCTGAACGTGACGTAATTAACAGGTAAACAATGAAATTTCTTTCTCAATGAAGTAATAAATAAATAACAATTCTTTCAATTGTTGTTTTAAAACTAAATTCTTCAATTTTTTCAATTGCAAATTAAATCATTTTTTATTATATTGTATTTTAAATAATTTTAAAAAGTTTAATTAAATTATTTCCAGGAATTTTCAAAAAATTGCACTGACAATAATATGAATTACTTCCAAGAAATTTATTAGAATTAATTTAAAAATAATTGAAAATTGGTTCAATTGTTTTTTTCAAAATAAATTCTTTAGCTTTTTTAAATTTTTGTTAATTGTATTATAAATAATTTTAAAAAGTTTAAATAATTATAGTTTTAATCAAAGTTTTAAATTTATTTTCAATTAAATAATTAAATTTTTTCAATGAATTTAAAAAAAAAATTTCAATGAACATAATTGCATTCTTGCAAAGAATTTTATCAAAAAATTTAAAAATAGTTGAATTCCATCTAACAATTTTATTATTTATGAAAATATTTAAATTCTTGCAAAGAATTTTATTAAAATTTTTAAAAACCTTAATTAAATTCTTTTGACGAATTCATTTAAATTTTTTTTAAATAATCGAGTTTCTTTAATAATTTTAATTGAAAATTTTGAAAGTAATATTGAATTTTATGAACAATTTTTTTCAAGTTTTTAAAAATAACCGTGTTTCTTAATAATTTTAATTAAACATTTAATTATTGAATTTTTTAAAAAATTTTAGTAAATAATTAAATTTTTCTCAAAAATTTATTAAAATTTATTTAGTAAATAATTGAATTCTTCTCAGAAAATTTATTAAAATTAATTTGAAAATAATTAAATTTCTGCGAATGAATTTCTTTATTTTTTTTTGAAAATAATTTAATTGCCTTACGTTTTCATTTGAAACTTTGAAGAAAGAATTCAATTCTTCCGAAGAATTTCATTATTTTTGAAAATAATTGAATTTATGAGAAGAATTTTATTATTAATAAAAATTATTATTGAATTCCTGAGACGAATTTTTTTATTTATAAAAAATAATTTAATTCTAAGTCAAATTTTTTTGAAACTGATAAATAATTCTATTCTTGCGAAAAATTTTAATATTTATGAAAATCATTGAATTTTTTAGAAAAAATTTTATATTTATTACAAATAATTGAATTCTTGCGAAGAATATTAAAACAATTTTTAAAAATAATTAAATTCTTCCAAAAAATTTGATTAAAATTGCATTATTAATAATTGAATTCTTACGTCACACTTTATTGTAACTTCGAAAAAGAATTCAATTCTTGCGAAGAATTTTATTATTTTTGAAAATAATTGAATTTATGAGAAGAATTTTATTATTTATAATAATTAATGAATTCTGATGAAGAATTTTAATTAAATTTTAAAAAATCATTGAATCGAGGAATTTAATTAAAATTTAATTGAAAATATTTGAATTCCTGTGATGAATTTTTTTATTTATTAAAAATAATTAAATATTTTAGTCAATTTTTATTGAAATTTAGAAAAATAATTCAATTGAATTCTCTTTTTCTGAACGAATATTTTAAGTAATTATTTTTAATTGTTTTTTAACAAACAAATTCTTTAAATAATTTTTTAAAATTGTATTTTAAATAATATAAAAGAAAACCTTTTAAATAATTAAATTCTTACGAGGAATTTTTACTTTAAAATTACACTGAAAATAATAAATTCTATCGAAGAATTTTATTAAAATTAATTAAAATTAATTTCAAAATAATGCAATTCATGCAGAAGATTTTTTTTTATTCATTAAAAGCAATTGAATTTTTAACATAAGTTTTATTGGAACTTTCAAAAATAATTTAAATCTTCAAGAAGAATTTTATTTTTATTATTATTATTATTATTATTATTATTATTATTATTATTATTATTATTATTATTATTATTATTATTATTATTATTATTATTATTGAATTTTAATTAAATTTTTGAAAATAATTGAATCGAGGAATTTAAAAATATTTTTAATGAAATAATTTTTTATAATTGAAAAATATTTGTTTTTAATAGTAAATTTCTTTTTATAGGGAAGAATTATTTTTTAAATGAAAAAAATTGTTTTCTTTCATTCAAGTAATTGAATCTTGCTGGAAAAAAAATGGTTTATTAAAAATATTTGTTTTTAATGGTATAGATTTTTTGATGGAAAAAAATTGATTTTTTCCCTTCAAGTAATTGAATTCTTGCTGATAAAAAAAATTGTTTTTTGTAATCGACGAATATTTATTTTTGCAGATCGCCGGTTCATCATAATTGGGACAAGGATCGTGAACGCGAAGATCATAGGGATTGGGACATTCGATCAAATCGCAGTCAACACAGTGACAATTATCGTAATAGACAAATTGGTATGAATCAAACTGACAGTATTCGCAGAAATGACGATCACAGTAAAAGATATTCGGGCAATCGTCGCAATCGAAATCCAGGTGAGAATGAAGATCGTTGGCGATCGGATTCGCCATCCGGCAAGAATTACGGTAATCGTCGTGATAATTCACGTGAAGTTCGACAGGTAATTAATCTTTTTCTTTATATTTTTTCACAAAATCAAAAGAAAAAATCAACTTTAGAAAATTTTTTACTTTCTTTTTGTAAGTTACGACGAGAAATATTTATTTTCTTCCTAAAGAAGAAGAAAAATATTTATTTCTTTCTGAAGAAGAAGAAAGAAAATATTTCTTCCCTAAGAAGAAAAATATTTATTTGTTTCTAAAGAAGAAAGAAATAAAAAAATAATTTATTTCTTCTTTAGAAAGAAATAAATATTTTTCTTCTTGCGAAATAAAAAAAGAATTTCTTTCTTCTTTAGAAAGAAATAAATATTTTTCTTCTTGCGGAAGAAATATTCTCTTGCTTCTTCAGCCAGAAATCAATATTTCCCTTCTTCTTTAGAAAAAAATAAATATTTTTCGTCATAATTTACAAAAAAAGGGAAAAATTTACTAAAGTTGGTTAATATTTATTTTAATTTAAAGCGCAAAAGAAAGAAAAAAAAATATTGAAGACTAATTTTTGCCTTTTGTGGAATTTTTCTCGACAGGGTTCGGAACCATTGTACATACCATCGAATAATAAATACGATTCAAATCGAATTCGCGACACGAGGAGCGTCGAGCCTGGTTATCCTGACAAATTTCAGGGCAAACCACCGTCGGGTCGACATGGAATGAAGGAATTTACAATTCCAAAGAACACAAAATTAGAATCACTACCACCGCGTTTTAGAAAGAAATATCTCGCTGAAAATGGCGTTTTACCGCCGTCGTCAAATAATATTGGCATCACATCCGAAGAGGCTTGGGACGGAAGCACTGTCACATTTCAGGTAATAGAAAAAAAAGAATTTTCTTTCTTAGTAATACATTTTCTTCTTAAATAATCAATTTAGTTATTTATTTATTTATTGAAATTTAATCCAACATTCATTTTTTTTCTTAGTAACCAACTAGCGCGTGTAGTTTTTAATTTTAATGTCGCATTCGACAATTAGTTCTATTTATCAAAAAGTGTTTTTAAGATTGAAATTCAAAAAGATAATTGAATCTTTGCAAAGAATTTAAAAACAAAAAATTTTGTTTTATAAAATTAAAAAAAAATTTTATTAGAATAAAATAAAAAAATTAAATTAAAGTTTATAGTAAAATTTTCTGTTTTTTTAACAAACTTTTTTTATCTATTTAAATTAAATTTTTCGAAAGTTTTCAATTATTAAAAGGAAATGTTGATAAAATTCTTTATAGAAACAAAAGTTTCAATTTTAAAAAATTCTAATTAAATTTTAATTAAATTCTTCGCTAGCATTGAATTATTTAAAAAATTTTAATAAAATTCTTCGAAAACAGTTCAATTTTAAGTTTAGATTTCTGTAGGAATCGTGATGTTGTATTTTAAGAAATTCGGTTTTTCAAATTTTTGATAATTTTAAATTTTTTACCAAATGGTCAAGACTATGAAATAAGTAAAGAGTTTTTAAAGAGTTAAAAAATCATAAAGCTAAATGCCATTAAAGAGAAGAAAAAATGTTGAATTTTAAGAAATTCGGATTTTTGAATTTTTGATAATTTTCTATAATTTTGGATTTTTTACCAAAGTGTCGAGACTATCAAATAATTAAAGTATTTTCCAAAAGCACAAAAATAGTGAAGCCAAATGCCACAAAAGAGAGAAGAAAATGTTGAATTTTAAGAAATTCGGATTTTTGAATTTTTGATAATTTTCTATAATTTTTTATTTTTTGTTAAAGAGTCGAGACTATCAAATAATTAAAGTATTTTCTAAAAGCACAAAAATAGTGAAGCCAAATGCCATAAAAAAGTGGAGAAAATGTTGAATTTTAAGAAATTCGGATTTTTGAATTTTTGATAATTTTCTATAATTTTTTATTTTTTGCCAAAGAGTCAAGACTATCAAATAATTTAAGTATTTTCCAAAAGCACAAAAATATTGAAGCCAAATGCCATAAAAGAGAGGAGAAAATGTTGAATTTTAAGAAATTCGGATTTTTGAATTTTTGATAATTTTCTATAATTTTTTATTTTTTGACAAAGAGTCGAGACTATTAAGTAAGTAAAGTATTTTCCAAAAGCACAAAAATAGTGAAGCCAAATGCCATAAAAAAGTGGAGAAAATGTTGAATTTTAAGAAATTCGGATTTTTGAATTTTTGATAATTTTCTATAATTTTTTATTTTTTACCAAAGAGTCGAGACTATCAAATAATTAAAGTATTTTCCAAAAGCACAAAAATAGTGAAGCCAAATGCCATAAAAGAGAGGAGAAAATGTTGAATTTTAAGAAATTCGGATTTTTGAATTTTCTATACTTTTTTATTTTTTGCCAAGGAGTCGAGACTATCAAATAATTAAAGTATTTTCCAAAAGTACAAAAATAGTGAAGCCAAATGCCACAAAAGAGAGAAGAAAATGTTGAATTTTAAGAAATTCGGATTTTTGAATTTTTGATAATTTTCTATAATTTTTTATTTTTTGTTAAAGAGTCGAGACTATCAAATAATTAAAGTATTTTCCAAAAGCACAAAAATAGTGAAGCCAAATGCCATAAAAAAGTGGAGAAAATGTTGAATTTTAAGAAATTCGGATTTTTGAATTTTTTATAATTTTCTATAATTTTTTATTTTTTACCAAAGAGTCGAGACTATCAAATAATTAAAGTATTTTCCAAAAGTACAAAAATAGTGAAGCCAAATGCCACAAAAGAGAGAAGAAAATGTTGAATTTTAAGAAATTCGGATTTTTGAATTTTTGATAATTTTCTATAATTTTTTATTTTTTGTTAAAGAGTCGAGACTATCAAATAATTAAAGTATTTTCCAAAAGCACAAAAATAGTGAAGCCAAATGACACAAAAGAGAGAAGAAAATGTTGAATTTTAAGAAATTCGGATTTTTGAATTTTTGATAATTTTCTATAATTTTTTATTTTTTGTTAAAGAGTCGAGACTATCAAATAATTAAAGTATTTTCCAAAAGCACAAGAATAGTGAAGCCAAATGCCATAAGAAAGTGGAGAAAATGTTGAATTTAAAGAAATTCGGATTTTTGAATTTTTGATAATTTTCTATAATTTTTTATTTTTTACCAAAGAGTCGAGACTATCAAATAATTAAAGTATTTTCCAAAAGCACAAAAATAGTGAAGCCAAATGCCATAAAAAAGTGAAGAAAATGTTGAATTTTAAGAAATTCGGATTTTTGAATTTTTGATAATTTTCTATAATTTTTTATTTTTTACCAAAGAGTCGAGACTATCAAATAATTAAAGTATTTTCCAAAAGCACAAAAATAGTGAAGCCAAATGCCATAAAAAAGTGGAGAAAATGTTGAATTTTAAGAAATTCGGATTTTTGAATTTTTGATAATTTTCTATAATTTTTTATTTTTTGCCAAGGAGTCGAGACTATCAAATAATTAAAGTATTTTCCAAAAGTACAAAAATAGTGAAGCCAAATGCCACAAAAGAGAGAAGAAAATGTTGAATTTTAAGAAATTCGGATTTTTGAATTTTTGATAATTTTCTATAATTTTTTATTTTTTGTTAAAGAGTCGAGACTATCAAATAATTAAAGTATTTTCCAAAAGCACAAGAATAGTGAAGCCAAATGCCATAAGAAAGTGGAGAAAATGTTGAATTTAAAGAAATTCGGATTTTTGAATTTTTGATAATTTTCTATAATTTTTTATTTTTTGCCAAAGAGTCGAGACTATCAAATAATTAAAGTATTTTCCAAAAGCACAAAAATAGTGAAGCCAAATGCCATAAAAGAGAGGAGAAAATGTTGAATTTTAAGAAATTCGGATTTTTGAATTTTTGATAATTTTCTATAATTTTTTATTTTTTGCCAAGGAGTCGAGACAATCAAATAATTAAAGTATTTTCCAAAAGCACAAAAATAGTGAAGCCAAATGCCATAAAAAAGTGGAGAAAATGTTGAATTTTAAGAAATTCGGATTTTCGAATTTTTGATAATTTTCTATAATTTTTTATTTTTTACCAAAGAGTCGAGACTATCAAATAATTAAAGTATTTTCCAAAAGCACAAAAATAGTGAAGCCAAATGCCATAAAAGAGAGGAGAAAATGTTGAATTTTAAGAAATTCGGATTTTTGAATTTTTGATAATTTTCTATAATTTTTTATTTTTTACCAAGGAGTCGAGACTATCAAATAATCAAAGTATTTTCCAAAAGCACAAAAATAGTGAAGCCAAATGCCATAAAAGAGAGGAGAAAATGTTGAATTTTAAAATATTCGGATTTTTGAATTTTTGATAATTTTCTATAATTTTTTATTTTTTGCCAAAGAGTCGAGACTATTAAGTAAGTAAAGTGTTTTCCAGAAGCACAAAAATAGTAAAGCCAAATGCCATAAAAAAGTGGAGAAAATGTTGAATTTTAAGAAATTCGGATTTTTGAATTTTTGATAATTTTCTATAATTTTTTATTTTTTACCAAAGAGTCGAGACTATCAAATAATTAAAGTATTTTCCAAAAGCACAAAAATAGTGAAGCCAAATGCCATAAAAGAGAGGAGAAAATGTTGAATTTTAAGAAATTCGGATTTTTGAATTTTCGATAATTTTCTATAATTTTTTATTTTTTACCAAAGAGTCGAGACTATCAAATAATTAAAGTATTTTCCAAAAGCACAAAAATAGTGAAGCCAAATGCCATAAAAAAGTGAAGAAAATGTTGAATTTTAAGAAATTCGGATTTTTGAATTTTTGATAATTTTCTATAATTTTTTATTTTTTGCCAAAGAGTCGAGACTATTAAGTAAGTAAAGTGTTTTCCAGAAGCACAAAAATAGTGAAGCCAAATGCCATAAAAGAGAGGAGAAAATGTTGAATTTTAAGAAATTCGGATTTTTGAATTTTTTATAATTTTCTATAATTTTTTATTTTTTGCCAAAGAGTCGAGACTATTAAGTAAGTAAAGTGTTTTCCAGAAGCACAAAAATAGTAAAGCCAAATGCCATAAAAAAGTGGAGAAAATGTTGAATTTTAAGAAATTCGGATTTTTGAATTTTTGATAATTTTTTATTTTTTGCCAAGGGTTCGAGACTATCAAATAATTAAAGTATTTTCCAAAAGCACAAAAATAGTGAAGCCAAATGCCATAAAAAAGTGGAGAAAATGTTGAATTTTAAGAAATTCGGATTTTTGAATTTTTGATAATTTTCTATAATTTTTTATTTTTTGCCAAGGAGTCGAGACTATCAAATAATTAAAGTATTTTCCAAAAGCACAAAAATAGTGAAGCCAAATGCCATAAAAGAGAGGAGAAAATGTTGAATTTTAAGAAATTCGGATTTTTGAATTTTTGATAATTTTCTATAATTTTTTATTTTTTGCCAAGGAGTCGAGACAATCAAATAATTAAAGTATTTTCCAAAAGCACAAAAATAGTGAAGCCAAATGCCATAAAAAAGTGGAGAAAATGTTGAATTTTAAGAAATTCGGATTTTTGAATTTTTGATAATTTTCTATAATTTTTTATTTTTTACCAAGGAGTCGAGACTATCAAATAATTAAAGTATTTTCCAAAAGCACAAAAATAGTGAAGCCAAATGCCATAAAAGAGAGGAGAAAATGTTGAATTTTAAGAAATTCGGATTTTTGAATTTTTTATAATTTTCTATAATTTTTTATTTTTTGCCAAAGAGTCGAGACTATTAAGTAAGTAAAGTGTTTTCCAGAAGCACAAAAATAGTAAAGCCAAATGCCATAAAAAAGTGGAGAAAATGTTGAATTTTAAGAAATTCGGATTTTTGAATTTTTGATAATTTTCTATAATTTTTTATTTTTTACCAAAGAGTCGAGACTATCAAATAATTAAAGTATTTTCCAAAAGCACAAAAATAGTGAAGCCAATAGCCATAAAAAAGTGGAGAAAATGTTGAATTTTAAGAAATTTGGATTTTTGTTAATTTTCTATAATTTTTTATTTTTTGCTAAAGAGTCGGGACTATCAAATAATTAAAGTATTTTCCAAAAGCACAAAAATAGTGAAGCCAAATGCCATAAAAGAGAAGAAAAAATGTTGAATTTTAAGAAATTCGGTTTTTCGAATTTTTGAATATTTTTGATAGTTTTTCATTTTTTACCAAAGGGTGAAGACTTTTAAATAAGTAAAGTATTTTTCAAAAGCACAAAAATATTGTAGCTAAATGCCATAAAAAAGAAGAAAAACTGTTGAATTTTAAGAAATTCGGTTTTTCGAATTTTTGATAAATAATTAAATAAATACTTTAATAATTAATTAAGTAATTTATATATATTTAGTTTGGAATTTTTTTTTTTTTTTGATAAAGTGTGCAAATTTTGCAATTTTGCAGGGATCGTCGCGTTATCCGCCGGCCATTCAGCATTCTCACACAATGCAAAATTTACCACCGTCTGGACCACTACCACCTCAGGCAAATTGGTCAAATACGGTACCTGTTCGCAGTCGAGGACGAGGAAGACACAGAAATGACGAGTTAGAAAATTTAGCGTCTTTCCGACCTGTTACACCGGATCAGTATTCTGCGCAAAGTTCACGATCGCATACGCCAAGTCAGGATTACGGGAATCGGTAAGTTTTACAGAAAAAAAAAGATAATTGATCTTACTTTGCTGGTGTTTACTATTTTAATTGAATTTAATATTAAAATAAAATTTATAATATTTAATAATGATTTTGTTTTTTTTAAAGATATTACGATCGGCGGGGAAGTAACAGTACAATGTACACAAGTATCGAGAGTTTAAATCGAATGGATAGCATGTTAATGCCACCGCCACGCGCACCATCGCCGGCAACTTCTATTCCCTATAGAAACACGTGTCCATCACCTGACAATCAGTGGTCTTATAAAAAGTAACTTTCTTTCTCATCTCTTTTTCACTTCTATTTATTTTCTTTTTCAAAATTTCTCCAGTTAATTTAAGTATTAATCTTTCAAAATTATATTCAATTTTCATCCATTCAACTAGTGATGAATTTAATTTTTAAATTAATTAGATTGTTATTATTATTATTTATTAATTTGAAATTTACCTAATTTAATGTTTATTAAATGATTTTTTTAGTCAAAGAGCGAATACGCAAGAAAAGCCGAAACCACAACCGATCTCGAATGTTACTTCGCCGAAAAGTGAAACTTTCGATTCATTGCCCGAAAAAATTGATACTTTGGTGAGTAAAGTTACTTTCTTCAAAGTTTCATTTTCCCTTTTTCGAAATATTTGTTCTTTTTTTTTTGTTGTTATTTTTAACAATATTAAAATTCTTTCCGGAAATTCAATTATTTTCAAAAATTAAAAAAAATTCTTGTCAACATTTTAATTATCTTTATAAATAGTAAAATTCTTCGCCAAAATTCAATTAGTTTCATAAATAATAATATTCATCAGAAGAATTCAATTATTTCGACAAAATTAAATTACTTTCAGGAATTTTAATAGAATTCATTGCAAAATTTAATTATTTTCAAAAACTTTTCTTAATTCAATGATTTTCAATATTCTACTATTTTAATCAAATTTCCCAAATGAATTCAATTATTTAAAAATAATTTTGACAAAGTTCTACACGAATATTCAATTACTTTCTAAAATAATGGAAATTTCAATTATTAATTCAATTATTAAAAATAGAATCAATTGCTTGAAACTTTTTTTTATAAAATTCTTTCCAATAATTCAATTATTTTTATAAATATAATAAAACTCATTGCAGACTTTCAATTATTTTTAATACAATCTTAATCGAATTTCTCGATAACTGTTATTATCCTTAAAAATTTTATTAAAATTTGAATTTTGTTCCAGATTTTCAGAAAAATTCTTATTTAATTTTCTAGAATTTTTATTTAAAATTATACTCAAAACTTTAAAAATGTCTTAAATTATTTAAATATAATTCAATTATTTTTTATAAATAACACATTTTTTTATGGAATTCAATTATTTTCAATACAATTTTTATAAAATTTTTCAAATAAATTTAATTATTTAAAAAAAAAATTTATTAATATTTAATAATATTTTTTAATAAGAAATCAATTACTTTGAATACAATTTTAACTGATTTTCTAGAAAGATTTTTCAATTTATTCGCAGAAATTCAATTATTTGCAGAAATTAATAAAATTATTCACAGGAATTCAATTATTTTCAAAAAAAGCAGTAAAATTAAAATCCTTCTCAGAAATTCAATTATTTTCCAAAAAGAATAAATCTTCGCAGAAATTCAATTATTTTTAAAAATTAATAAAAACTCTTCACAGGAATACAATTATTTTCTTAGCAGGAATTCAATTATTTAAGAAATTTTCATAAAATTCTTCACAGGAATTAAATTATTTACCAAAAGTAATTGAATTTTTTATAGGAATTGATTTATTTTCAAAAAATAAATTCTTCGCTATAATTCAATCATCTTCATAAATAATAAAATTCATCGCAGAATTTCAACTATATTTAATAAAATTTTTATCGAATTCCTCGAAAAATGTCATTAAAAATAAATTTTTAATCTTAAAAATGTTATTAAAAGTCTCCAAAAGAATTCAATTATTTAAAAATTTGTTTATAAAATTATGTATAAGAATTAAATTTTAAGAAACTTTCAATTCTTTAATAAATTATGTGTTTTTGTATTTAAGTAATTGAATTCTCGTAGAATTTTCTAATAAAAATTGATTTAAAAATTAATTTCTGTTAAAGTTTTAGATAATAATTTAATTTTAGAGAAGTTACTAATAGAATTGCAATTTTTAGAAATAATTTAATTTTGTAAAGGTTTCAAATTAAAATCTTTGAAAATTTGAATTTTTCTCCCTTTCATTAAAAATTTTGTGCAACTAATTTTTTTCAAAAAGCTTAATCGAAATTTTTAAAAATTATTTCAAGTTTTTATTTTCTAATTATTTAATTCATGAATTTCCTAATAATTGAAATTTCACGTAAAATTGAATTCTAAACAAATGGATTTAAAAATTCTTAAAAGAAGAATTTTTTCAAAAATTATTAAAAATAATTGATTTAAATAAGAATTTTAGTTCTTCTTCTGAAAAGTTTTATTTTTTGAAAAAAATTGAATTCTGGGAAGAATTTAATTAAAATTTCTTAAATAATTGAATTGCTTCGAAGAATTTTATTTTTTAAGAAAATAATTGAATTGTTTCGAAGATTTTTTACAAACTTGACAGTAAAATTGTAATTCCTATAAGGAATGTTATGTTTTACGAAAATAATTGTATTCTACAGTCAATTTTATTATAATTTTTCAAATTTATAAAGCATTTTATCTCAAAATTTTTGAAATAATTGAATTTTCGAGAAAAATTTTATTATTTATGAAAATAATTGATTTCTTACGAAGAATTTTATTCAAATTTTTTTCAAATAATTGAATTCCCATAAAAAAATGTATTATTTGTGAAAATAATTGAATTCTTAAGAAGAATTGTATTGAAAATAATTGAAGTGAATAGGGAAATTTTTATTAAAATTGCAATATTATTAACTTAATCTGGTAAAGAATTGTGTCAAAATTTTTTTAAATAATAGAATTTTTAAAAGAATTTTATTTAAATTTTTCGAAATATTTGAATTTCTCAGAACTATTTTTTTCTATTCTTTGAATATATTTGAATTCTTTCGATAAACTTCATTATTAAAAATTTTAAATAATTGAATTGGTGCGAAGAAATTTATAAAAAATTGGAAAGAATTTTAGTTAAAAATTGAAGAATGTTTTATAATAATAATATTCTTATAAGTTGTTGAATTTCAAAAAGATATGAATTTGAATGTTTTAAAAAAATTTTAATTTCTACGGAAAAATAATAATTAAACATTTATTTAAAAATAAAGTTGCTGATGTTTTCAAATAGTTTTATACAATTAAAGAAATTTGTAAATAAATGTAATAGAATATTTTTTTGAGTATCTAATAATTTTTTAGATTGAATCGCAGAATATTCTTTTGGGTCAGGGAAAAAGTCGAAAATTTTGTCCGGAAATCAGGGAAAAACAAAATTAATTTTTTGTGGCATCCCTGCAGTTATTATTTTATGCAAATAAAAAAAATTGTATTTTAGGCGTATTTTAATTGAATTTTTGTTTAAATAATTAGAAAAAAAATTCTTGCAATGTGACAATTTTTCTATTTTTTTTTAATTTGACAATTTACATGGTATTTTCTAGGATTGGGGCGAGGAGGTGGAATTGAATGAGCGACTGGAGGCGGAACAATTGAGTCGTAGCTCATCCGTATTGAGTTTACGGGGCAATTCAAATGCAAGTCAATCAACGTCGGGTGGAAGTAAAAAGAGAAAAAAGAACCGAAGAGGTGGTCGCGATAGGTGAATAAATTAGTCTTTTTTATATTTTATTAGAAATAAAATTAAAATTGCATTTAATTAAATTTTGATATAGTGAATTAAATTTTTATTCAGTAAATTAAATTTTTATTAAAAATTTAATTGAAATTGAATTTGTATTTAATTTAATTTTTACTGAATTAATTAACTTCTTAATTAGTTAAATTTTACTTTCCACTATTATTTTCATTGAAATTCTTTTTTCTTTCTTCTTTCAAAAGGAGTGGAACAAGGGACAGATTTCAAGAGACAAGTCGCGAACGTCAAAATAATCAGCAAAATAGAGAAAATGATAATTACAATAATAATCAGAATAATAGTCGGCGATTTGATAATCGTAGACGTAGTGCGATTCAACGTAGCCGAGAATCGAGCAAGGAGAGAAGTCGAGGAAGAAATCATGACGATTTTTACAGAAATAGGTAAAAAAAAAGAAAGAAAAACATTTTTATTCTCTCTTCATGATGATTACAATAAAATTGTATTGCAGTTTTAATTGTAATTTTTTAAATATAATTTTAATTAAATGAAATTGTTTCGTTTTAGAATATCAGATCAGCCGTCGGACGAAAATTGGCGAACGGGAAGACGAGTTTCAATTTGCGATTCAGAGGACGGTCGACGAACGCCTTGTTCATCGTCACATTCAACTGTCGCCAATTCATCGTCCCATCAATCACCATCAAGTTTTAATAATTCTCAACCTGGCGTTCTTGTTTTACCCGATACAAATACTTTTCAACCGAGTACAACACCGCCCCGATTACAGTCACAGCAACAACGCACTCTCTTCGATCCAAACAATCCCAATAAACCAATTATCGTCACTTCCACCGGTGGTAGAACGGCTCCCAAATTCAGGTAATTATTCATTCCTAACAATCAATTTTTTTACGCTTTATAATTGTTTTTACAATTTTTTTTAATTATCAAGAAAAAACAGAGTTCACACACGTCTGGGAATTCAGGGAAAAGTCAGGAATTTTTATTAAAAATACTAGGAAAAAATTTTTTTTTCTTGACCACAATAGATTTTTAAATATTGTTCAATTATTTCAAAATTTTTAACGTAATTTTTTTTTTTTTGATAAATAACAAAATTCTTCACAGAAATTCAATTATTTTTAGGAATTTTAATAAAAATCTTGTGCAAAATTCAATTATTTTTCATAAATAACAATATTCATGACAAGAATTCAATTATTTTCAAAAAGTAATAAAATTCTTTGAAGAAATTCAATTATTTTTGAAAATTTTAACGAATATCTCGTCAAGAATTCAATTATCTTTATAAATAGCATAATTTTTCGCCAAAAAATTCAATTATTTTTAAATATTGAAATAAAATTCTTTGGAAAATTTTAATTAGTTTCAATAATTTTTCGCAATTCAATAATTTTCAATATTTATTTTCATAAAATTTATTTAAAAATTTAATTATTGAAAAAAAATGTTTGATACAATTCTACGAAAACATTCAATTATTTTCATAAATAATAAAATTTCTTTTAGGAATTCAATTATTTTCATCGCAGAATTTTAAATATTTTTAATACAACTTTAAATAAATTCCTCGAAAAATGCAATTATTTTTGAAAATTTTATTAAAACTTGACAAAAGAATTCAATTTTAAAGAAACATTCAATTATTCAATAAAATAATAAAATTCGTTGAAAATTAAAAAATTTTTAAGTAATTCTGCAAAAGAATTAAATTATTTTCATAAATTAATATAAAATTCTTGGCAAGAATTCAATTATTTTATGAAAATTTCTATAAAATTCCTGGCAAGAATTAAATTATTTTAAAAAAATTTCTATAAAATTCTGCAAAAGAATTCAACTATCTTGATAAACAACAAAATTCTTTCCAAAAAAAATCAATTATTTTAAGGAATTTTAATAAAATTCTTTCCAAAAAATCAATTATTTTTAAGGAATTTTAATAAAATTCTTTGGGTCCATTCAAGTTAATTATTTTTAAAAGTTTTAATATAATTCTTGTCAAAATTTCAATTATTTTATGCATAATTTACTAAAATTCTTCGCATGAATTCAATTATTTTCATAAATAATCAAATTTTTCGAAGGAATTCAATTTTTAAAAAAAATTTCGATAAAATTCTTGGCAACATTTCAATTATTTTCATAAATAATCAAATTTTTCGAAGGAATTCAATTATTTAAAAAAATTCCTATAAAATTCTTGGCAAGAATTTAATTATTTTCGTAAATAATCAAATTTTTCAAAGAAATTCAATTATCTTGATAAACAACAAAATTCTTTTTAAAAAATCAATTATTTTAAGTTATTTTAATATAATTATTTGGGGCCATTCAAGTCAATTATTTAAAAAAATTTCTATAAAATTCTTGTCAAGAATTGAATTATTTTAATAAATTTTTTAGTAATTCTGCAAAAGAATTCAATTATTTTTCTAAATTAATATAAAATTCTTGGCAAGAGTTTAATTATTTTCATAAATAATCAAATTTTTCGAAGGAATTCAATTATTAAAATTTTTTTTAATAAAATTCTTGGTAAGAATTTAATTATTTTAAAAAATTTCTATAAAACTCTTGGCAAGAATTCAATTATTTTCATAAATAATTAAATTTTTCGAAGGAATTCAATTATTTAAAAAAATTTTTATAAAATTATTGACAATAATTTAATTATTTTCATAAATAATCAAATTGTCTGAAAGAATTCAATTATTTAAAAAAATTGTATAAAATTCTTGTCAAGAATTAATTATTTTCATAAATAATAAAATCCTGCAAAAGAATTCAATTATCTTGATAAACAACAATATTCTTTCCAAAAAATCAATTATTTTAAGGAATTTTAATAAAATTCTTTTTCAAAATTCAATTATTCTGATAACTAACAAAATTCATTACGAGAATTCAATTCTTTTGAAAAGTAATAAAATACTATGCAAAAATTAAATTATTTTCAAAATTTTTGCAAAATTCTCGTCAAGAATTAAGTTATTTTTATAAATAGATTCCGAAATTCTTCTTAAGAAGTCAATTATTTTCAAAAGTTTTAATATAATTCTTGTGAAAATTTCAATTATTTTATGCATAATTTAATAAAATTCTTCGCATGAATTCAATTATTTTCATAAATTATTAATTAAATTCTCCTCTGGAATTCAATTATTTTTTGAAAATTTTAATAAAATTCTTTAAAAGTTTTCAATTATTTTCAAAAATTGTGATAAAATTCTTTAATTCAATAAATTTCTGTAAAATTTTAATTAAATTCCTTAAAAGAAATTAATTATTTTGAAAAGTTGGTAATAAAAATTCTTCATAAAAATTCAATTTTAAGAAACATTTAACTATTCAATAAATTATTTAGTTTTGGATTTTAATAATTGAATTCTCGTAGAATTTTTTAATAAAAATTGATTTCAAAATGAATTTCGATGAAAATTATTTTGGACAATAATTTTAATATGAAAAGCAAAGCATGAATTTTTAAAAATAATTGATTTTTGAAAAGGTTTAAAATTCAAATCTTTGGAATTATAAATTTTTCGTACTTTTTACTAATAATTAATTTAAAGAAAAATTGTAGTTAAAAATTGTAGAAAATATTAATTTGAATTTAAATGATGAAAATAATTTTGAAGAAGTTAGAGTAACAATATTTTTATATAAAATAATAATTTTATCACTGGATTGTCTTTAATATTTAATTATTATAAAAACATGAAGAAGTAAATCACTTCGAGTCGAAGACTCGGAGTGATTGACTTCTTCATGATTTTTTTAATAATTTTCTTATAAAGTTATTGAATTTAAAAAATTTTTAAGATTTTAAGACTTTTTTTCAAACACTTTCTTTTAGCAGAATTTTATTGAAAGTAATTGAAATTCAGGTGATAATTTTATTATTTATGTAAATAATTAATATAATTAAAATAATAGGTAATATTTTCTAATTTGCTAAATTTCCAATTTTTCGAAAAATTTTGTTTTCTTTTCTTTTTTTAATGTTTATTTTAAAGGATTTTAAAAGTATTCAAAAAATTGATTAAACTTTTTGTTCTTTTAGGGAAATGGAGGGAATTGCTCAAGCTGAAGTTCCTGTTTTTCAATCTCTTCCTGGAATGTTTGCGAGTCACTCAAATTTTCAAGGAGCACAAGGAGAAGGTGGCGCGCCCGCTCCTTATTTCAATGAACAACTCGGTAATTCACGACCGTCTTGGTATGATCCCTATTCTGAAAGGTAAATAAATAATTATTAAATTAAATTAATTCGAAAAATTACAAATTTCAATTTTGAATTTCAATTAGAAATTTTAAAGAACTTAGATTTTTGAAAACTTTGAATAATTCAAATTCTTCTGAAATTAGTTGAATCTTTTTAACACGTATTTAATAAATTATTAAAAGTAATAGATTTATAGAAGAATTTTAGTTAAAAACACTTTAAAAAATTGAATTTTGTAGATGTAACAAATTATGTGGAGAAATTCAATTATTTTTAAGAGTAACAATGTTCTTCGCAAAAATTAAATAATGTTAAAAAATTTAGAAAAATTCTCTTAAAAATTTTAATCATCTTTATAAATATAATAAAATTCTTCTCCAAAATTCAATTATTTTCAAAAATTTTAATAAAATTCTTGGTACAATTTCAATTATTTTCAAAAAGTTTCCTCAATTCAATAATTTTCAATATTATTTTAATAAACATTTCCTAAAGAATTCAATTCTTTAAAAAAGAAATTTTAAATTCTACGCAAACATTTAATTATTTTTATAAATAATAAAAATTCCACAGGAATTCAATCATTTACAAATACTTTATAAATTTTTTTGCAATAATTCAATTATTTTCATAAAAAATAATATTTCTCTTCAGAGATTCAATTAATTTCAAAGATAATAAATTTATCTTTAAGAATTCAATTATTTTCACAAATAATAAAACTCATCTAAGAATTTCAATTTTTTAATGCAATTTTAATTGAACTCTTCAAAAAATATTATTTTTAAAAATTTTATTAAAATTCGTCAAAATATTCCAATTATTTGAAAATTTATTGATAAAATTCTTTATAAGAATTCAATTTTAAGAAACATTCAATTATTCAATAAATTATTTATGTTTGTATTTAAATAATTGAATTCTCGTAGAATTTTCTAATTAAAATTTGTTTAAAAAATGAATTTTAGTTAAAATTTCAGACACTAAAATCGAGTTCTTTCGAGAAATTATATTTTTGAAAATAATTGATTTCTTGACAAGAATTTTATTACAAATTTTGAAAATAATTTAATTGTTTCGATGAAAATTAAAATTCTTTCAAAGAATTTAATTAAAATTGTATTAAAAATATTTTTTTTGTATTAAAAATAATTGAATTCTTCTATTAAGAATTGAATAAAAATTTTTGAAGATAATTAAAATCTTTGTAAGAATTTTTATTTATGAAAAAAATTCAATTCTTTCAAGCAAGTTTATTAAAATTTTTAAAAATGATTGAATACTTGACAAGAATTTTATTAAAATTGTTGAATATAATTGAATTTTAAAGAAGACTTTTATTATTTATTTAAATAATTGAAATCCAGCGAATAATTAAAATATTGAATATAATTGAATTCCTGCGAAGAATTGCATTATTCATGAAAATAATTGAATTTTTGGGAAGAATTTTATTTTTTGAAAATAATTGAATTGTTTACAGGAATTGAATTATTTACAAAACATAAATTCTTGCATAAAATTCTTCGCAATAATTCAATTATTTTCATAAATAATAAAACTCATTGCAGAATGTCAATTATTTTTAATAAAATTTTAATCGCATTTCTTGATAAATCTAATTATTCTTAAAAATGTTAAAATTCATTGAGAAAATTCAATTATTCAATAAGTTATCTATTTAAAAGTTTTGGATAATAATTTAATTTTGAAGAATTTACTAATAAAATTGCATTGTTTTAAAATCTTGGAATAATTTGAATTTTTCATACTTTTAATTAAAAATTCTATGGAACTAATTTTTTTTCAAAAAGCTTAATCGAAATTTTTGAAAATTATTTGAAGTTTTTGTTTTCTAATGTATATTTAATGAAGAATTTGTTTTCCAGTTTCCGTTCAGCGAAACATCATTTTCTTCTATTGGACATTGAACGAGCCGATTTGGAATTACAGTGGATTATAAGTTCAGGTGGTTTACAAACTCATTGGGAGCGTGTCTCGTACATTAGACATTTCCTACAACAAAGTCTACAAAATCTATTGGAAACTGATATTAAATTTTGTCAAAAGGAAAATGTTGAACAACATTTTTGGAAAATACTCTTTTACAATATGATTGAAATTTTGAGGAAAAATATGCCGAAGGAAAATGCTGAGGGACGCGAGAGATGTAAACAAATAATGCTCAATATTATCGACGAGGGCACTGTTTATTTGGAGAATTTATTGGCAGTGCTGGAGAGGGTTTATAATTTTAAAATCGATCCCTATCTCACATCGTCAATGTCGCCAAAGGGTTTGGGAATTATTGGACTTGTTTTAATTAGCGCTCAAAAGATATTCTTGTTTCTTGGCGATTTGGCGCGTTACAAGGAGCAAACCAATGAAACGACTAATTATGGAAAATCGAGACAGTGAGTTTTTTTTTTCTTTTGGTATTCGGAAGATTTTTGGAAATTTATGTAAATAATTTTAATTGGATAAATATCTAATTAATTATTTCGTTAATTATGTTAATTATGAAAATTATGAAAATTTTCCAAAATTACTGAATAATTATAATAATTATAATAATTACTGAATTATAGTAACTTTTTGTTTTGTTTTGGAAATTTTACTTAATTTTCGATTGGGAAATTAATGAGAATTAATATTTTATTTTCTAGTTGGTACCTGAAAGCTCAACAAATAAATCCGAAAAATGGAAGGCCTTACAATCAACTTGCCTTATTGGCGCATTACGCTGTAAGTTAATTTCGTTAATTCGAAAACAATTATTATTATTATTATTTAGTAAATTGTTCTTTGAACCGTTTTTTCAAATATTGATAAAAAAACAGCCGGTAATTTTCCAATTTAAAATAATTTCTCAATTTTTCACGAAAACATAAAATCCTGATTATTCTGCTAAATAAATAAATAAATAAATAAATAAATAAATAAATAAATAAATAAATAATAATAATAATAATAATAATAATAATAAAAATTTTAAGAATTCTAATTGTCAATTTTTTCAATTAGAATTCTTTTAAAACACGATCATATTTAAAAATAATTTTTATAAGTAAACATTTTAAAAGTAAAATTCATTAAAATATCAAATTCATTTAAATTAAATTTAACAAAATTATTAATTGTTTCAATTGTTTAAAATTATTTTCGCCGCAAATTTTTCGGAAATAGAATTATTTTTAAAAAGAATTTTAATAACATTTTTTCAAGAAACAAATTTTTTCGGAATTATCTAAATTAAAAATTAAATTATTCAAAACTTGAATAAATTAAAAACTATTTATTTTTCCACTGGAATAAAATTTTTTAAATAATTTCAATGAAAAACCCTTTGAGATTTAATTATTTCCAAAAAATTGCAACTTTAATTCTTCCAAAATTCAATTATTTTTTTTTTAGAAATTTTTGAATAAAATTATTCAAAACTTTAAGAATTTTTAAAGAAAAATAATTAATTATAATAACTTTTTGAAATAAAAATTTTAGTATTTTTCTACTTTTGCTTCCCTTGAATTTTCAAAGAATTTAATTTAAAAATCTTTTAAAATTTACTTAATTTACTAAAATTCCTGTTGTTAACGGTTTAAATATTCAATTATTTTCTAAAATATTCTAAAATTTTAACTGAAATTATTTTTCTAATCAATTCCTATCAGAATTCAACTACAAGAATTGAATTATTTCAATGGAATATTTTTTGTAAATATTCATAAATTATAATTTATTTTCAAAAATACAATTATATTTATAATTTTTAAAGATGAAAAAATCAAATTCTTGAAAATATAAAATTTATTTTAGTAAAATTTTATCAAATTTTTCATTGTTTAAATTTTTTAAAATTATTTTCGGGAATTAAAAAAAAAAATAAAAAAAAAGTCTTGAAAAAATTTTAATTATTTTTCAAAAATCTCATTTTTTCAGAATTTCCAAATTAAATCTTTCAAACAATCATTTTTGAAAAATATATATTTAAATACTTTTTTTTTCATTTCATTAAAATTTCAAAATACTTTCAATGTAAAACTATTTAAAAAAATTTATCATGAAAATTTGAACTGCAAGTCTTGAAAAATTCAATTATTTTTCAGAATTTTTGAATAATTTTTCAAAATCATTGAATTTCTGCAAAGAATTTTATTTATTTAAAAAATGAATTTAATTTAATCAAATAATTTTATTAATTTTTTAGAAATAATTGAGAATATCTGTGAAGAAATTTATTAATTTTTTTATAGTAATTGAATTTCTGCGAATAATTTTATTAAATTTTTAAAAAATAATTTGAATTCTTGAGTAGAATTTTTATAATATATGAAAATAATTTAATTTTTCTAGAAAACTGAATTATTTTTTGAAAGTAATTATTTAATTTCTGTATAGAATTCAATTATGTTTGTAAATTATTTAATTCTTGTGAAGAACTTTATTAAAAGTTTTTAAATCATTGAATTTCCATTAAGAATTTTAATAATTTTTAAAAATAATTGAATTCCTGTAAAGAAATTAATTAATTTTTTTTTAAATAATTTAATTCTATCAAAGAATTTCATTAATATTTGAAAATAATTGAATTCTAACGATGAATGTGATTAATTTCTTAAAATAATTGAATGTTTGTAAAGAAATCTATTTATTTTTTAAAGTATTTGAATTTTTGCGAAGAATTAAATTAATTTTTGAAAATAATTAAATTTTTGCTGAGAATTTAATTAAAAGTTTTGGAAAATAATTGAATTTTTTCGAGGAATTTGATTAGAATTGTATTGAAAATATTTGAATAGTTGTGAAGAAATTTATTAATTTTTTTTAAATAATTGAATTTCTGCAAAGAGTTAAATTTAGTTTTGAAAATAATTGAATTTATGCTTATAATTTAATTAAAAGTTTTAAAGTAATTGAATTCTTGCTAAGAATTTTATTATTCTTGAAAATAATTGAATTCCTGAGAAGAATTTTAATAAAATTTTTAAAAATCTTAATTAAATTCTTTTAAAGAATTTCTTTGAATTTTTTTTTGAAAATAATGGAGTTTCTTTAATAATTTTAATTGAAAATTTTGAAAGTAATTGAATTTTATTAAAATTTGTAGAGAATAATTAAATTCTTCTCAGAATTTTTATTACAATTTTCTAAAATAATTTAATTCATTCAAGAAATTTTATTAAAAATATACAATATAATTAAATTCTTTCGAAGAATTGAAACTATTTAAAGGTTTTGACAATAATATTGAATTGTTTCAAAAAATTTCTTTAATTTATTGAATATAATCGATTTTGTTAATAATTGTAATTAATAATTTTACTATTAAAATTTTATTAAAATTATTCATAGAAAATTAAACTCTTTTAAACAATTTTATTAGAATTTTTTTTTAAATAATTAAATTTTTTAGAAGAATTTATTTTTGTTTTTTTCAAAATAATGTAGTTTTTTGAATAATTTTAATTGAAAATTTTTTAAATAATAGAAACAAACAAAGAATTTTTTCAACATTTTTAAATAATCGTGTCTTTTAATAATTATAAATAATAAATAAATATTTGATTTTTCAAGTTTATTAAAATTGTATTGAAAGTAATTGAACTCGTGAAAATTGAATTGAATTGTTTCGAAGGATTTAGTAAAATTTTAGAAAATAATTTCGAATTTTTTGAAAAATTTTATAACGAATTAAGAAAAAAATTAAATATTTTCTTAAAATTTTTGAATTTTCGGAAAGATTTTACCATTTAAGAAAATAATTGAATTGTTTTGTAAAATTTTATTAAAATTTTATTGAAAGTTTAATTTAATTTAATTTAAAAAGAAAAATTATAGAAACAAACTTAGGACAACAACAAAAAAATAAAAAAGAAACTAACGAATAAACTTTTCTTTTTCAGAGAAGAAAATTGGACGCTGTTTATTATTATATGCGATCGTTAATGGCGTCAAATCCATTTCAATCGGCCCGTGAGAGTCTTATTGCTTTATTCGATGAAAATAGAAAAAAAGTAAGTAGAAAATGTACTTAGTTAATCTTTTAAAAAAAATTAAAAATCTAATTTTATGAGATAATTAATTTAAATTGTTTCTATAAATGTTTTTTTGCTGCCAAGTATCTACATTATGTGAGTAAAAAAAACAAATTCAATTTTTGAAGACTTTTCAATGATATGCTTTATATTTAGTTGTAGCTTCTTCAATTTTTTTGATTGGCACGTCATTTTTCAGTTCACGTTGCAATTAATATAGTTTTTTTGATTGTTACAAAGTTTACTTTTTTTTCATACCTAGTTCAGCTGAATCATTGAAATTAGCTTTCTTCATTTCGTCGAATTGTTTTTTTTCGTTTTCGTTTCTTCGTTTTTTAGAATTTACTTTTTTTTTCATAATTTATTTAATTTTTGATAAATTTGAGAATGAAATTTTGTTGATTTAACTGGTTAATTAATTTGTTAAATTAGTTAATAAAATTTAGATAATTAAATTAATTATTTAGTTAATTAATTCACTTACTTTTTCAAGTAAGTGAATTAATTAATTTGGTTAATTGAATTAGTTATTAAATTTAGTTAATTAAATTTGTTAATCTAGTTAATGCAGTTAATTTTTGTGTTTTTATTCGTAATCAAAGAATTTCTTTTCTTATTATTTGTTTCAATTTGTAATTGAAAGATTAATGTAATTAAAATATAATTATAATTTTATAAAAATTTAATTATATTTATTTAAATTTTATTAAATTTTATAATTAAAATAAAAATTATATTTCAATTTTTATTGTGGAATTTGAAAAAAGAAATGTTTATTTTTTGTTTTTTCGGTTCAATTGAATGAATCAACTTTTATAAGTTTATAATATCTCCAACATATTTCATTAATTTAGTCTTAGACAAAGCTTCAACTTAGAATTTAATTTTAATTTAACACAGGGTTGCCACAAAATTTGATTATATTTTTCCCTGATTTCCAGACAGATTTTTGACTTTTTCCCTAAAGAATATTTTAATTTACTCTAAAAATAATTGGATTCAGAAAATTTTTGAAATACGTTCATTTTTGAATATTTTTAATTGTAAAATTATTAGGAACATCGATGGATTTTTTAAATAAATATTTAATCATTAGATATTATTATTTCGTCACAAGAATTATTAATTTTGTTGCAAAAAAAAAAAAATTTAGAAATTAATTTATTTTAATTTTTGTATTAATTTTTATACTCCTTTTTGTAATTTTTGTAACTTTTTATAATTTTTAAATCAGAAATAATTCAATATTTGCATTATTTTTGTAAAGAATTTTCTTAAAATATTTAAAAATAATTGAATTCTATAAAGAAAATTTATTTTTTTGGAAAATAATTGATTTTTTGTAAAGAATTTTATAAACAAATAATTGAATAATAATATTAAACAAATAAATGATTGAATAAACAAATAATAAATTGAATTCACGCCAATAATTTTTTTATTTGTGAAATTAATCAAATTCTTGCCAAGAATTATTATAAAATTTTTGAAAATAATTGAAATTTTACGAAGAATATTATTATTATTTATAAAAATAATTGAATTTTCTTAAAGAATGTTTTAGGCAATCTTGAAAATAATTGTATTGTTACCAGAAGTTTCTTTTTTTGTAATTGAATTCTTGTAAAAAGCTATAGTAAAATTTTTAATAATTTTTAATAATTAAACGTTTGAAATGAATTTTATAAAAATTTATTATTTTTTCAAAATAATTGAATTGAATTGTCACGAAGAATTTTATTTCAATTTATGAAAATAATTGAATTCCTTTGAGAAATTTTACTGAAAATAATTGAAATGCTACAAAAAATTTTATTATTTATGAAAATAATTGAATTATTTTTCTAAGAATTGTTAAAAAATTTTGAAAATAATTGAATTCTTTCGAGATATTTTATTAAAATTGTATTAGAAATAATTGAATTGAACTAAAGAATAATTGAATTCTTATGAAGAATTTTAATATTTATAAAATATAATTAAATTGAATTGAATTGAAGAATAATTGAATTTTTAAAAAGAATTTTATTACAATATTTGAAATCATTTGTATTTCTTTGGGAAATTTTACTCAAAATAATTGAAATTTCAGGAAGAATTTTATTATTTATGAAAATAATTGAATTATTAGGTACGAAAAGTTTTTATTTCTTTTCTACTTTAATTCTTGTGAACAATTTTATTAGAATTCTTGAAAATAATTGAATTCATGCGGGAAAAATTTTATTATTTATGAAAATAATTGTATTACTGCGAAGAATTTAAATTATTTAATTATTTCGATTAATTTAATTAAAATTGTATTAAAAATAAATAATACTGAATTCTTTAAATTCCCTGATTTGTTGCAACCCTGCAATTTTTAGTTTAATGTTTCATTTGTATAATCTAACTCTAGAATCGTTTTAGAATTGAAAGAAAAATTCTTTTCTCATTAATAAAAATTTATTGTTTAAACACTCTATTAATAAACGAACGAGCAAAAAATTACAAAATGTAGATTATTTTCATTTAGTGATCATTGCAAGGAAATTTGTCAGTAGTTATCATTCTCGAGAATTATTATTTTCTCGTTTTTTTTTTATTTTTCTTTTTTGAAGTTAAATTTTAATACTAACAAAGGAAATTTTTAATTTTTAATTCAAACAGTACGAATCGACGGAAAGAAAGAGAAAAGAGGAACGTGAATGGAAGGAGAGAGCGCGAATGAAAGAAAAGGAGGGTTCAAATAATATTGGCGGAAGTTTGCGTCGCGAAACATGGATTCATCCCGGAGGTAAACGAATGAGACGAACAACTTCTGCGTCAACGGCCAATGAAACAATTATCCCGGATAGCGATTCGGAGGATTTGGCCCAATTGACAAGTGTGGAGGTAATTTTTTCCTTTTTTTTTAAATTTTGTATTTGTATTTCCAGATTTTTTAATTCTGAAACTTTGCTTTTTTAAAATTTTATTTTACGTTTCAATTTTATTTTATTTTTCAATTTTATGTTTCAATTTTGTTTCAATTTTATTTTATGTTTTAATTTTATCTTATGTTTCAATTTTAGTTTAGTTTATTTTAGTTCATTTACGGTATGAAAGTTTAAAAAATCCAACTTAATTTCAATTAAATTTAATTCTATTTTACTTGAATTAAAAATATCAATTTTATCCCAAATTTCATAAAATTTAATTCAATGTCAATTCAATTCAAATAATTTCCAATTAAAAAAATATTCAATTTTTGATTAAATTTCAAAATACTTTTAATTTTGAACAAAGAATAAAAAATTCAATTTCATTTTAATAAAATTCAAAACAAATTACGATTCAATTAAAAATAGTTTCAATTTTAAAACGAAAATTCAATTTCAATTTAATTCAAAATATTTTCAATTTAAAAAGAATATTACGAAAATTCAAGTTCCAAAGTAAATTTAAAATTGAAATAAATAACAAATCAGTTAAGAATTTTAAATATTTATATATTGAAAATATTATAAATTTTGACAAAAATTCAATTTTTAATTAAATTCAAAATAATTGCAATTCAATTTTTTATTTCTCAAATTTTTCAAGTTTCAAATTCAATTTTAATCAAATTTAAATAAAAATAAAAATTCAATTTGAAAAATTATTTTCATTTATTTAAAATTGATGTAAAAATAATTGAAATCCTGTGAAGAATTGTTAATATTTTATGGAAATAATTGAATTTTTCCGAAAAGTTTAATTAAACTTTTTTTGAAATAACTGAATTCTTTTAAATTTTAAATTTTAATTGAAATTCACCAAAAAAATTTTTTTTTTGAAATTTTAATGAATATTTTCAATTATTTGGAAAAAAATTATTGAAATATTTTTTGAAAATTCAATTATTTTCAGGCAAATTTTTAGAATAAATGAGATTAAAAAATAAAAAAGAAACCATGAAGAGTTACAATTGTAATTTTCATTAAAAAAATTGAATTTTTGTAATTTAAGAATTGAATTTTAGTTTCTTTTAGAATTTCTGGTAAGAAATTGAGAAAATAAATTTAGAAAATTTGACTTGAAATATTAAAATAATTTTTTTTTAAATTCCAAATATTTTGAAATATTTAATTGTTTTTTTGTTTCAAATAGAAAATATTTTGAATTGAATTGCAATTTATTGAAATTTCATTTAAAGTGGATTTAAAAATTTATTTAATTTTTTTTGTTATTTATTTATTTAATTAAAAACATCTTGAATTGAATTAAAATTATATAATTGAAATTGAATTAAATTTTTGAAATGTTGTTTAAAATTGATAATATATAATTTAAATTCATTTTAAAAAAATTGAAATTGAATTGAATTTTTTGAAATTTCACTTGACGGTAACAATATTTTCTCAATTCAATTGTTATTTATTTAAAGATTAAAATTGAATTTGAAAATTGAAATACTGTTTACATTTCAAAAAAAAAAACATTTTAATTGTAATTAATTTTGAATTCATAATTAAAAATGGAATTTTTGAAATTATTTATAAAATTAAAAATGTTAAGAATTGCAATTGAATTGAAATTGATTTAATTCTTATGGTATTTTGATTAAAATTTATAACATTTTAATATAAATATTTAAAATTTTGAATTGATTTGTTATTTATTTCAATTTTATTTTATGTTTCAATTTTATGTTTCTTTTTTATTTTGTTTTAAGTTTATGTTTCAATTTTATATTTCAATTGTGTTTCAATATTATTTTATGTTTTAATTTTGTTTCAATTTTATTTTATGTTTTAATTTTATGTTTCAATTCTAAGTTTTAATTTTATTTTATGTTTCAAGTTTATGTTTCAATTTTAAGTTTCAATTTTAAGTTTCAATTTTATTTATGTTTCAATTTTATTTATGTTTCAATTTTATTTTTTGTTTCAATTTTATATTATGTTTCAATTTTAAGTTTCAATTTTATTTTATGTTTCAAGTTTATGTTTCAAGTTTATGTTTCAATTTTATGTTTCAAGTTTATGTTTCAATTTTATGTTTTAATTTTATGATTCAATTTTATGTTTCAAGTTTATGTTTCAATTTTATTTTATGCTTCAAGTTTATGATTCAATTTTATGTTTCAATTTTTTTTATGTTTCAATTTTATTTTATGTTTCAATTTTATATTATGTTTCAATTTTGTGATTCAATTTTATGTCTTAATTTTTTTTATGTTTCAATTTTATATTATGTTTCAATTTTATGTTTCAATTTTATGATTCAATTTTATGTTTATGTTTCAATTTTATTTTATGTTTCAATTTTATATTATGTTTCAATTTTATTTTATGTTTCAATTTTATGTTTTAATTTTGTTTATGTTCCATTTTTATTAAAAATTATTTTTCTATTAAACAAAAATGTATTTTTTATTGCAGGTGAACAAACGATTCATTACCTCGTATTTGCACGTTCACGGAAAGTTGATAACAAAAATCGGGTGAGTAATTTTCCACTGTCAAATTTTTTAGGCTTTGCACTCTTGTACTAAAATCTACTATTTATTATTTTTTTCACGATTGGTTTTTACTAAAACTTTAAAATTAATTTTCATTAATTAATTATCGAGTGCGAAGCCTAATTTTCTTAAGTTCGATGTACAATCCTAACAATATTTAAGTACAGGAGAAATAATTAATTTTTATTGTCCGAGTTTTGAAAAACAAAGGGAAAAAATGCGTGTGATTGAAAGTGAAATACCATTTTTTTCCTCCCCCCTTCTTTTGGATGAAAAATATTGCCAGGGTACAAAAGAATATTGTAACATAAGTGAATCCCATTTAGCTTTTACCTCTTTCTCGACAAAAGAAGCGGTTATTACCGTATCCGGATACTCGATGAATCTGAATGCAGAAAGACGGAGAACAAAGAAACTTGTGGTTCAAAAAGGGGGTTGAAGAAGAACGTACAGTCTGTAATACAAAGCTGTTCCGTTGCTCGATTCTTGTATTATATATCTATATACACTCTTTCACATTGAACAAATCGTTCTTCGGAAGCGAGGAAAAGTCCCGAGTTATTTCAAGCAATAATTATTACAAGTAAAAGGTGTAAACAAATGGGAATAATTGCCAGTCACAAACGCTAATGGTGCTAATTCAAAGAAATTGTCGTTAATTTAAAAAAAATCCTACATTTTAAAAAAGACAAACTCCCTTAAAAAGAGGAGAGAAAAAAATTCTATTCAGAAAAGATTCTATTTATGTTAAAAAAATTCTAAACCTTCTCTAACTTTAGGTTTTTTTAAACTTGTTTTTCTTTTTTTAAGACTCTTTTAAAATTCTTTTAGGATTCTTTGTTTAGGAAAAATTTAAAAAAAGAAAGATTTTAAAGGAAATCTTTTCCTTTAGAATCTTTCTTTTTAAAATTTTTCTCCCTTCTTTTAATGGCAAATTTCTTGTGTCAATAGGAAAGATCGCTAATTTTCAATTCGCAAAGTTTGAATGACTTTGTGTTGTGCTAAAGAAGTATTAACTGTAGTTTACTATAAAATTCTTCATTCGTACATAGGTGAGTTTACTTTTCTCACCCGCAAATCACTGTTTTCTATGGCAATTCCCTTGAGTGTGCTTGCAGCAAATTTCGCACGTACGTTTTTTCTTTTTGATGAGTTCAATGAACTTTTAAAGAGAAGAGAAGAGAGAAGGATTTCTGTTAATCTCAACTTTCCTAGAAGTGTCACCATAATCACAATTGTTTTTTTTTCTTTTGCTTCGTCGATCTTCCCCGAACAGTTACGTCATTATTGAATTCACGAGTTGATAATAATTTCTATAAACAAATAAGTATTTTTTGGGTGGGGATTTGTAATATCTCTAAGGTTCTATTTTATTAAAACGTTGGATCAGATTTAAAAACAATTAAGAGACTTGCAGAAAATTTAATAATTGAAATGGGTATGCTTGTCATTAGAACATATCGGAATAAAAATCATCAATGAGATACTATGTATGTGAATCACAATTCGTACTTGTTGAACAGGTATGCTTGCCACTAGAACATATCGGAATAAAAATCATCAACAGAATGATACTGTGTATGACAATCATAATCCAGTACTTGTCAAACCTAATCTAGTACCTACTTTTCGAATAGATATGCTTGACATTAAACAATATCGGAATGAAAATCATCCTTAGGATGATACTAAATTCAAAAAGATGGTCCTGGAGCTTATTGTCGTAAAGGTATGCTAGCCACTAGAACATGTCGGAATTAAAATCATCATCAGGATGACACTAAATTCGACAATGATAATCTAGTACTTGTCGAATCTAATCTAGAACTTTTCGAACAGGTAACTTTTCGTATAGGTATGCTTGCCACTAGAACATATCGGAACAAAAATTAAATACAGTTTGACATTGCAAACAATATTCCACTTTGAATATTTGCAAATCTAGTATAATCTAGTAATTGTGGAATAGGTATTCTTGCCACTAGAACATATCGGAATTAAAATTAGTAATGAGATCAGAATCAAATACAGTAAATTTTAATCCAGAATTTTTTTAATAGGTATGCTTGCTGTTAGAACATATCGGAATATAAATGATTAGTAGCATGGGTATAAATGATACTAAATTTGACAAAGATAATCTAATAATTGTCGAATAGGTATGCTTACCACTAGAACATATTGGAATTAAAATCATAAAAGATTTGGATATAAAAATTACTAAATTCAACAAGAATAATACAGTACTGTTGGAATGGGTTTGCTTACTACTAGAACATATCGGAATAAAATCATCATTATGATGAGTATAAATAACACAGAAATTATTAAGACTAGTCCAGTATTTGTCAATTAGGTATGCTTACCTTTAAAACTTATCTGAAGAGAAGTCATCAATAAGATGATACTAAATTTGACAGATCATAATCCATTCCTTTCTGAATAGCTATGCTTGTCACTAGAACATATCGGATTATAATCAGTAATGATTTGAGTATAAAAATTACTAATTTTAACAAACATAATCTAGTACTTCTCGAATGCTTGTTACTAGAACATATCGGAATAAAAATCAGTTACATTTTTGCACCTCAAACAATATTTTACTTTGAATATTTGCAGGTCTAGGGTACTTTAAACAAGATCATTTAAGAATCCAGAGTTTCTCGAAGCATTTAGTTTTGAGAAATGTTCAAAAATTTAACGGTTATGCTTACCACTAGAACATCGGAATTAATATCTGTAATGACTAAAGTATAAAAATTACTAAATTTAAGAAGGATAACTCAGCACTTATTGGATAGGTATGCTTGCCACTTGACCATATCGGAATTAAAATCGTCTGCATGAGGAGTATAAATGATTCTAAATCTGACAAAAATAATTCAGTACTTGTTGGACAGGTATTCTTGCCACTAGACAATATCGGAATTTAAATCATCATTACGATGAGTACAATTAATACTAAATTTGACAAAAATAATTCAGTACTTGTTGGATAGGTATGCTTGCCACTAGACCATATCGAAATTAAAATCGTCTACATGATGAGTATAACTGATACTAAATTTGACACAAAAAATAATTCAGTCCTTGTTGGATAGGCATGCTTGCCAGAAGAACATATCTGAACAAAAAACATTAAGGTTATGTTAATTAATTTCTTTATTACTACACTTGACAGTTTTAATAACAATCTGGTCCTTTTTTGAAACGGTATACTTGCCACTAGAACATATCGGAATTATTATCATTAAGAAAATTATACTAAATTTGACAATGATAATTCAGTTTATATCGAACAGGTATTCTTGCCACTAGAACATATCGGAATTAAAATTATTAATGAAATCAGAATAAAATATAGTAAATTTCGTAATGTAAACTTTTAGAATCCAGATCTTTTTTTATAGGATTGCTTGCTATTTGAACATATCGGAATATAAATCATTAGTAGCATGAGTATAAATGATACTAAATTTTGTACGAATAAACTAATAATTGTCGAATAGTTATGCTTGCCACTAGAAAATATCGGAATTAAAATCGTAGATGGGTATGAATAATTCTCAATTTTACAAGGGTAACTCAGTAATTGTTGGATAGGTATGTTTGTCAATAGAACGTATCGGAATAAAAATCATCACTATCATCAGTATAAATGATAGTAAATTTCTCAAAGTTAGTCCAGTATTCGTCAAATAGGTATTCTTGCCACTAGATCATATCGGAATTAATATCAGTATTAAATTGAGTCCAAAAATTTATATTTTACTAAGGGTAATCAAGTACTTTTCGAATAGATATGCTTGTCACTAGAACATATCGAAAGTAACATCAGTATTCAATTGAGTATAAAAATTACAAAATTTAACAAGAGTAATCTAGTACTTTTCGATTTGGTAATTTTTCTAATAGGTATGCTTACCACTAGAACATATCGGAATAAAAATCAGTAATTAAATGATAATAAAAAATGAACTCAAGTAAAAAATTTGTCCTTTTCTTCAAATGATTCGCTTCAATTGGATGAACTTGGTAGCGTAGGGAGAAATGACTTCGGGCCTGTGTTGCTGACCTTGATGAGACATCGTGTGTAAATTTTCAAGCGCCACCGACCTTGCCCTTGCACAGCGACCGTGCAACGTTACATAATTTCTTACTTAGAGAGAAAACGCGCCAGTCTCCTTGACTGCATCCATACTTGGCGTCCGCTGGTCCAAGAAACGTCATTCTTTTCCCAGTTCTATCTTACCTTTATACCATTTCTATATACTTTAGGTAAAGTTTTATTTTTTCCACTTTTACCACTCGCCCGTCTGCCTACTCTAATGACCGTTATCGACAAAAAAGGAAAAATTTGGTCCTTTAATTCCTGACTTCTTTGGGAAAGAGAATTAAAAAAAATTATCTATTATTAGAATGTTTGATTTCATGCACCTGGCGGGTTATTAAAGGGGAAATAAATGTTTGATTTCATGGCGATTTGTAGTGATTAAGGTGGAGGAATGGAATAAGAAAATAAGAGCAAATGGCCCTAATAACGCCTTGTGCATGTTAGAGGCGCCTCTATAGTTGATGATGAAAACGGTCGATTCCCACGGATTGAAAAATAAAGAAAAGGATGTGTAAATTTTCATTGGGTATGGTTTTAACGCCCAGGGGTTGGTCAGGGTGCGCGTACTATTAGCAATCCATTTTATCCATTGCACACACATAATCATAATGAAATGTATCCCTGGCGCTGTTTGGTCCCAAGTAACCGACACGTAGCTTCGTGTTTTCTTGCACGACTGTAAAAATGTTAATTGACAATTGCGTGGCGCCACTGACCACCGTCTCACCACCACCACTGTCTGTCTCGGAACCATCTTTCCAACAACGATTCTCTCTCTCTCTCTCCCTTCGTTCTTCTTCTTTTCTCCATTACCTACCGGGTGTCTTCTTGCACGCCTCAATTTTTGCAAAACTTCATTTTCTTT